AGCCAACATTAGCCTCCTTTAGCTTAGCGGTGGTGACGTGACGGGAAGTCATGTGACCGTGATGTAGTTCCTTTATAGCCCAACATTAGCCTCCTTAGCTTAGCGGTGGTGACGTGAAGTCATGTGGACCGTGCTGTAGTTCCTTTATAGCCCAACATTAGCCTCCTTTAGCTTAGCGGTGGTGACGTGAATCATGTGACCGGGCTGTAGTTCCTTTATAGCCCAACATTAGCCTCCTTTATGCTTAGCGGTGGTGACGTGAAGTCATGTGACTCGTGCGGTAGTTCCTTTATAGACCAACATTAGCCACCTTTAGCTTAGCGGTGGTGACGTGAAGTCATGTTGACCCGTGCTGTAGTTCCTTTACAGCCCAACATTAGCCTCCTTTAGAAGGCTTAGCGGTGGGTGACGTGGGAAGTCGGATGTGACCGGGCTGTAGTTCCTTCATAGCCCAACATTAGCCTCCTTTAGCTTAGCGGTGGTGACGTGAAGTCATGTGACCGTGCTTGTAGTTCCTTATAGCCCAACATTAGCCTCCTTTAGCTTAGCGGTGGTGACCGTGAAGTCATTGTGGACCGTGCTGTAGTTCCTTTATAGCCCAACATTAGCCTCCTTTAGCTTAGCGGTGGTGACGTGAAGTCATGTGACCGTGCTGTAGTTCCTTTATAGCCCAACATTAGCCTCCTTTAGCTTAGCGGTGGTGACGTGAAGTCATGTGACCGTGCTGTAGTTCCTTTATAGACCAACATTAGCCACCTTTAGCTTAGCGGTGGTGACGTGAAGTCATGTGACCGTGCTGTAGTTCCTTTACAGCCCAACATTAGCCTCCTTTAGCTTAGCGGTGGTGACGTGAAGTCATGTGACCGTGCTGTAGTTCCTTCATAGCCCAACATTAGCCTCCTTTAGCTTAGCGGTGGTGACGTTAAGTCATGTGATCGTGCTGTAGTTCCTTCATAGCCCAACATTAGCCTCCTTTAGCTTAGCGGTGGTGACGTGAAGTCATGTGATCGTGCTGTAGTTCCTTCATAGCCCAACATTAGCCACCTTTAGCTTAGCGGTGGTGACGTGAAGTCATGTGATCGTGCTGTAGTTCCTTCATAGCCCAACATTAGCCTCCTTTAGCTTAGCGGTGGTGACGTGAAGTCATGTGACCGTGCTGTAGTTCCTTTATAGCCCAACATTAGCCACCTTTAGCTTAGCGGTGGTGACGTGAAGTCATGTGACCGTGCTGTAGTTCCTTTATAGCCCAACATTAGCCACCTTTAGCTTAGCGGTGGTGACGTGAAGTCATGTGACCGTGCTGTAGTTCCTTTATAGCCCAACATTAGCCTCCTTTAGCTTAGCGGTGGTGACGTGAAGTCATGTGACCGTGCTGTAGTTCCTTTATAGCCCAACATTAGCCTCCTTTAGCTTAGCGGTGGTGACGTGAAGTCATGTGACCGTGCTGTAGTTCCTTTATAGACCAACATTAGCCACCTTTAGCTTAGCGGTGGTGACGTGAAGTCATGTGACCGTGCTGTAGTTCCTTTACAGCCCAACATTAGCCTCCTTTAGCTTAGCGGTGGTGACGTGAAGTCATGTGACCGTGCTGTAGTTCCTTCATAGCCCAACATTAGCCTCCTTTAGCTTAGCGGTGGTGACGTGAAGTCATGTGATCGTGCTGTAGTTTCTTCATAGCCCAACATTAGCCTCCTTTAGCTTAGCGGTGGTGACGTGAAGTCATGTGATCGTGCTGTAGTTCCTTCATAGCCCAACATTAGCCACCTTTAGCTTAGCGGTGGTGACGTGAAGTCATGTGATCGTGCTGTAATTCCTTCATAGCCCAACATTAGCCTCCTTTAGCTTAGCGGTGGTGACGTGAAGTCATGTGACCGTGCTGTAGTTCCTTTATAGCCCAACATTAGCCACCTTTAGCTTAGCGGTGGTGACGTGAAGTCATGTGACCGTGCTGTAGTTCCTTTATAGCCCAACATTAGCCACCTTTAGCTTAGCGGTGGTGACGTGAAGTCATGTGACCGTGCTGTAGTTCCTTTATAGCCCAACATTAGCCACCTTTAGCTTAGCGGTGGTGACGTGAGTCAACATATCCACGGATAGAAGATGAGCAGAACCATATGTACAGTTGATTTAATGTGACAAAAATAATACAGAATAGCCAAAAATGCACCAAAATAACACATCATTGCACCAGCCAATACTGAGGTGTATCTGCTCTCACAGATAGGCCTCTTGGAAACAGGAAGCCCCACTCTGTTTACTTTCCCTTGTCCTTTAATGCAGATGACCTGCGGGGGGTGTGGGGGGGAGTTCAACAACCCCATCACTCACCAGCCAACTCCACCCCCTCCACCCCAAAAACATTCCTTAGCCTCTTATCTCCCCGTATCGTAAACAGCAAGGACTCCCCCATGTGGGGAGGGGGTTTCAGGGGTCAGAGGTCAGCGATGTGTTTTGAAGCAGGTCTGCCTCCTGGATGACATCAGACTCAGAGAGATGATTAAAAACAGACGAGCAGCGCCACACCAAAAACAACATGTTGATCAGAAACTGCCTCATGGGATATATATGTAGAAATATGAGGAATATAAAATGGTGGGTATTTGGATTCTTTGATGAAGTGAAATTTTGACTAATTAGTCAAAGTTCTGCATTAACAAACGTACTTTAAAGCAAGTATTATCAGCAGTGTTGTTAAAGTACTGAGTAAAATGATTACAGAATATTAATCTGTTAAAATGTTTCATGCAATAATGTCAGGAAATGCTTTATTTTCTTAGATTTCGCAGGTGAAAAGCTAGGAAATACAGCAACAGCACGGTCACATGACTTCACGTCAGCACTGAATAATTTCTGTTTTTTATGAATCATTCCTCCACCTCTCTCTCTAACCTGTGATGTTGAAATGACAGAAGCTGTGTGATTAAAACTAATTATAACAGCAGTTTGACTCAGCAGGTTGATCTCTTTCCTCTTAACTCATCCGCTGCCTTGACTTTGACTTTCCTGGGAAGTGTCTTTATCTTTTTGTCGTTTGTTTGTGTCAGAGTGATTTAGTCCTGACTTGTCTCGACAGTGACTTCATCTCACAAACGTCCTCGTCTGTCCCCCGGCTGAAAACGAGCCGTGTTATTAGTCAACCGAGTCATCCCTGCGCTGACAGCATGAGTGTTGACTAAAGAGCCGCTAATACTTTTACCCTCCTTTACGGCGAATACTCTTTCACTCTCATTCCGGGAGACGTCTCCGGACAATAAAGTAAAATCCCAGACGAGTGCAGACAGGTACAGGGAAACAATATGAGGCTTATGTTGCAGGTGCTGCAGCTTTTATGTGGTGTGTGTGTCATGTTGCACTGAACACAGCTTTAATTATTAGAGTCTTTGTGGTCACGAAATCTGCTAGCAACCAGCTCTGTCTCCAAAACACTGAAAGACTGTTTTGTGACAAAGAAAAAGTCTTGATGTTTGGGGTTATCATTCATCATCATTTTGGCACGATAAGGTTGGAAATATGAGTCCTGCTAGCCTAGTTAGCACAAACTAGCTTAGCTTTTCACAAAGACTGTAAACAGAGGAAAACTGCAAACCTAGCTTAGCACAAATACTTGAAACCCATATTAACATAATGGAAACAGAGGGAAACTGCTAGCCTAGCTTAGCACGAATACAGTAAACACAGGACAACTGCTAGCCTAAATTAGAACAAAGACAGCAAACAGGGAAACAGCTAGCTTAGCTTAGCACAAGGACAGGAAGGAAGGCTGCTAGCTTAGCTTAGCACAAAGACAGGAAACTGCTAGCCTATATTAACACAATAATGGAAACGGAGGGAAACTGCCTTGCTTAGCACAAACACTAGAAACTAGTGGTGCACGATAATTATCGGCCCGATAATAGGAATTATGACGTCATCCCGATAAACCCGATAACAGTATTAATAGCCCCGATAATATACAATATATTTTTTGGGTAAAAAAATAAATACAAATACTGCGGTGTGGGTGGATTGGGATGAGGGGCGCTTGTTTTTCACTCGGCTCCTCCCGTTTTGCCAGTACTGTGGTATTAGTGGTTTAGGAAGAGGGGAGTTCTTCACAAATCCAGCGCTCCCTAACTCATGCCTGGCTGTGACGTAAATGGTGTGCGGCCGTGAAGCCAGGACAGTAAACAAACATGTCGCCGGTAGTATGGGACTATTTCAAAGTTTCAGAGTTAGATAGTTCGCTTGCTATTTGTATTAACAAATGCACGAGCTATAATACTTCCAACCTGATTAGTCACCTGAAACATCGCCATCGCTACGATGGTGTGTTAAAAGCGTACGAAGGCGCCTGCGCTGCTAAACTAGCGGCGAATCCAAAGCCAGCTGCAAAGGCACCGGGGCTTTTACCTATCCACGAGGCTTTTGGAAAAGGCAAGAAGGTTGCCAGAGACGACCCCAGGGCTAAAACGATCTCTAACTTCATCATAGAAATGATGGCGCTTGACGAGAGTCAAAACTGTTCTTGGCTTTGTTTTGTTCATAGTAGTAATGCTCATGTCATTTGCTCACTACTAGTCTTTTTTTTACCACCAGGTGTGCAAAAACTACAGGTACATTTAATATATATATATATTATATTATTATTGGTTATCGGTATCGAGAAGCAGGAAGTTATCGGTATCGGTTTCAAAAAACTAATATCGTGCATCCCTACTAGAAACCCACTTAAACTGCTAGCGTAGCTTAGCACAAAGACTGCAAACTGCTAGCCTTGGTTAGCACAAACACTAGTAACCCAGTTAAACTGCTAGCCTAGCTTAGCACGAAGACTCAAAGCAAAGGGAAACTGCTAGCCTAGCATCCACCAATAGAGATGATTAAAACACATTTAAATAGCCGTTAGTATGCCTGATTTGTTTATAACATCAACATATACACCAACAATCACCTTAGTGTTGCAGTCCTTTCATCACTTCTTATTACTTTCCCATTTTCTCAACACTTCTCTGGTCTCTTGGCTCAGGTTTGAACCTCGTGACCTCTGGAGCTCAAGGGCACTTCGCCAGCCTTTAATCTGAGGCGTGCTGCTGGAGTTTCAGTTTTCACAGAGAAACAACACAAAGCTGCAGGAAGAGAAAGTGTTTCCTACGGGTTGTCTTAATGTGTAACGTTCACTAACAGAGTCCAGACCTAAGAGATGAGTCTGGAAGTGAAACAGAAAGATTTAGTGTTGATGAAACACAGGAAGTAAATCTTCCGGTAATCCCGGTAGGCCTCTCTCAGTCGAGGATTTAGTGTGAATCAGATGTTTGAGAATCCCACAGGCTGATTACTGAAAAGAGACGTAATGAGAGATTTGTTCAAACAGCTTTTAAACACCCAAACCAACCAGACGTTTTTATCCCAGAAAACTCCACTGTCAACGCTCCCACAGGAACCTATTTATAAATCTAAAGTATCTTATACATTTTGCTTAAAAGTTTCCCTTAAAAAACCTTTTCATATTAAGCGACAAAGTGGTGACGAAGTAAGTTGGTAAAATGTTGTCTTTTATTTTGAAGTCAGCTGTTTCTGGCAATGTAACCGAAAGCTGTTCTTTTTAAATTCAGTTGTCTGACTTTTGGACAGGGACTTTTATTTTGAAATTCAGTTGTCTCTTTCTCTGTGACCATAACCTTTTGTTTTGAAGTTCAGCTGTCTCTGACTTTGGGGATCAGAAACTTTTACTTTGAAAGTCAGCTTTTTCTGACACTGTAGTTGTAAGCTTTTCTTTTGAAATTCAATTGTCTCTGACACTATGACAGATGTACTATTATTTTGAAGTCAGCTGTTTCTCGCACTGTAAACATAATTGTTTTAAATGCAATTGTCTATGACACTATGGGAGGCTTTTATTTTGAAAGTCAGTTGTCTGTGACCATAGACTGTATTAATTATAGTCTGTGACACTACGACCATAAGCTTTTATTATGAAAGTCAACTGTGTCTTACTATGTACCCCTAAGCTTTTAATTAAAACAATCCGGTCTCTCACACTTTGACCTTTATTTTGAAAGTCTTCTGTGTTTGACCCTGTACTCGCTGCCTCTCTGCGGCTTCAGTGATTTTCTGACCGACACACAGCTGTTCCCCGGCCTCTCACCTCCTCTCACGTCCTCTCACCTCCTCCCCATCATTTCCTCTCCATTTGTCCCTCCGTCCGCCTACAGGAAGGACAAAGAGACAAATGGAGGACGAGGAGCGTAGATATCTCCAGAAACAGAGCTCTCTTTATCGCCATGCAGGTCAGCGTATTTTTCCAGAGGTTAAAAAGGTGATTTAATTGAGTGGGCTGTCAGCTTGTTGAAAGACAAAATAAATGTTGTTTTCTGTTCTTTGGTGGGAGCGTAAACAACTTTAGAGCAAATAAAATACACACATGTTGGCTCCATTTGGCTTATTACTAAACAGGGATTTACTTGTTAAGACGTCAAGGTTTAAAGTTCTAAAAGGTGATATATAAGTGAGATGTCTTCAAATCCAAAAAGCTTTAAAGATCCGGACAACCCCCTTTTATTTTGGTCACAACTCCTAAAGCAGATTGGTATTTGCCGTTAACTAAACAAAGAATACAAGCTTTAAAGTGAAACGCTGAGGAGTATTTACGCATGTGTGAGTGTTCATGGTCTCCGGAAACATAAAGATTAAGAGTGTTTGTAATAAATACTGTGAGTGTTTGTCCTGCAGATAAACACTCCTCAGATGTTCCTCCACCTCACACACACTCTGTTACAGAGAGGGGTCAGTGTGCCGTGACCGTCTCCAAACGACCTGAGAGGAAACACATCATCTGTGAAAACAATAAAAGCACTCGCTGGTAAAGAGGCCTATTATGCTCTGGTGTTCCCTTTCCTGTAGTTTGATACATCAGCAGGAGAGGACTCTTTAAAGTAGAGACACACATACTGATATACACCTGAACATCAGCAGGAGAGGACTCTTTAAAGTAGAGACACACATACTGATATACACCTGAACATCAGCAGGAGAGGACTCTTTAAAGTAGAGAAACTACATACTGATATACACCTGAACATCAGCAGGAGAGGACTCTTTAAAGTAGAGACACACATACTGATATACACCTGAACATCAGCAGGAGAGGACTCTTTAAAGTAGAGACACTACACACTGATATACACCTGAACATCACCAGGAGAGGACTCTTTAAAGTAGAGACACTACATACTGATATACACCTGAACATCAGCAGGAGAGGACTCTTTAAAGTAGAGACACTACATGCTGATATACACCTGAACATCAGCAGGAGAGGACTCTTTAAAGTAGAGACACTACATACTGATATACACCTGAACATCAGCAGGAGAGGACTCTTTAAAGTAGAGACACTACATACTGATATACACCTGAACATCAGCAGGAGAGGACTCTTTAAAGTAGAGACACTACATACTGATATACACCTGAACATCAGCAGGAGAGGACTATTTAAAGTAGAGACACTACATACTGATATACACCTGAACATCAGCAGGAGAGGACTCTTTAAAGTAGAGACACTACATGCTGATATACACCTGAACATCAGCAGGAGAGGACTCTTTAAAGTAGAGACACTACATGCTGATATACACCTGAACATCAGCAGGAGAGGACTCTTTAAAGTAGAGACACTACATACTGATATACACCTGAACATCAGCAGGAGAGGACTCTTTAAAGTAGAGTCACTACATACTGATACCTGAACATCATCAGGAGAGGACTCTTTAAAGCAGAGACACTACATACTGATATACACCTGAACATCAGCAGGAGAGGACTCTTTAAAGTAGAGACACTACATGCTGATATACACCTGAACATCAGCAGGAGAGGACTCTTTAAAGTAGAGACACTACATACTGATATACACCTGAACATCAGCAGGAGAGGACTCTTTAAAGTAGAGACACTACATACTGATATACACCTGAACATCAGCAGAAGAGGACTCTTTAAAGTAGAGACACTACATACTGATATACATTACATTACATTGCATTTAGCTGACGCTTTTATCCAAAGCGACTTACAATAAGTACATTCGACCAGGAAGACACAACCTTGAAGAAAACAGAATCATATAAGTACATCAGGTTTCATAGAGCCAAACATTTCAAGTGCTACTCAACTGGCTTTAGATAAACCAGTCCTTTATTAGTATATAAGTGCTTTGTTAATAGTTCTAACGCTCGAAGTGGAGTCGAAAGAGATGAGTTTTCAGTCTGCGCCGGAAGATGTGCAAGCTATCTGCCGTCCTGATGTCAATGGGGAGCTCATTCCACCATCTTGGAGCCAGGACAGCAAACCCACGTGTTTTCGCCGTTGGGAACTTGGGTCCCCCTCGCAGCGAGGGCGCAGCGAGGGCGCAGCGAGTCGTTTGGCTGATGCAGAGCGTAGTGCACGCGCTGGGGTGTACGGTTTAACCATGTCCTGGATGTAGGAAGGGCCAGATCCATTCGCAGCATGGTAAGCAAGTACCAGTGTCTTGAAGTGGATTCTAGCAGTTACCGGAAGCCAGTGAAGGGAGCGGAGGAGCGGAGTGGTGTGGGAGAATTTAGGAAGGTTGAAGACCAGACGAGCCGCTGCATTCTGGATGAGCTGCAGAGGTCGGATGGCACATGCAGGTAGACCAGCCAGGAGGGAGTTGCAGTAGTCTAGGCGTGAGATGACGAGAGCCTGGACCAGAACCTGAGTCGCTTTCTGTGTCAGCTGGGGACGTATCCTCCTGATGTTGTAAAGCGTATATCTGCAGCAACGGGTTGTAGCAGCGATGTTTGCAGTGAAGGACAGGTTGTTATCTAGGGTCACACCCAGATTCCTTGCAGTCTGAGTCAGGGAAACAACTGAGGTGCCGATGTTGATTGTTAGGTCAAGAGTGGGACAATCTTTTCCCGGAAGGAAGAGCAACTCAATCTTGTCAAGGTTGAGCTTGAGGTGATGAGCAGACATCCACTGAGAGATGTCAGCTAGACAAGCAGAGATGCGTGCGACGACCTGGGTCTCTGAGCGGGGAAAGGACAGAATTAATTGGGTGTCGTCAGCGTAGCAGTGGTATGAAAAACCATGCGGGCTAATGACTGATCCGAGCGAGTTTGTGTACAAGGAGAAGAGGAGGGGACCAAGAACAGAGCCCTGAGGGACCCCTGTAGTTAATTGACAAGGGTCGGACTCAGACCCTCTCCAAGTCACCCTGTAGGTACGGTCTTTCAGGTATGAGGTGAGGAGGGAAAGTGCAGAGCCTGAAACTCCAAGTTCTTGGAGAGTGCGAAGGAGGATCTGATTGTTCACTGTGTCGAATGCAGCAGACAGGTCCAACAGGATGATGACAGAGGAGAGGGATGCAGTTTTGGCAGTGTGCAGTTCCTCCGTGACAGCAATGAGAGCAGTTTCTGTGGAGTGACCTGCCTTGAAACCAGACTGGTGCGGATCCAGAAGGTTGTTCTGATGGAGATAACAGGAGAGTTGTTTAAAGACAGCGCGTTCAAGTGATTTAGACAGGAACGGGAGGAGAGAGACAGGCCTGTAGTTTATAACATCAGACGGGTTGAGAGTGGGTTTCTTTAGGAGAGGGTTTACTCTTGCCTCCTTGAGACTGTTTGGAAAGTGACCAGAAGTTAGAGAAGTGTTGATGAAATGGGTGAGAAACGGTAGAATATCAGGAGCGATAGTCTGAAGGAGGTTTGAAGGGATAGGGTCCAGAGGACAGGTGGTAGGGCGGGCAGAGGTAATGAGGGTAAGAACCTCACTTGGAGAGAGAGGGGAAAAGGAGGTTAGTGTGTTGGTGGAAGGAGGGTCTGGTGACCCAGCGGTGAGTAAAGGTGAGTCAGAAAAAGAAGAGCGAATATCATCAACCTTTTTTTCAAAGTGGGTAACAAAGTCGCTTGACAGAAGTGAGGAGGGGGGAGGGGCTTTTGGAGGGTCCAAGAGGGTGGAGAAGATGGAAAATAGTTTTTTAGGATTGGAATAGGAAGATTGGATCTTATCTTGAAAGAAAGTGCTTTTTGCCTGAGAGATCGAAGCAGAGAAAGAGGAGAGGAGAGCTTGATAGGTTAGGAGGTCGTCACGGTGTTTGGATTTCCACCGTTGTCGCTCTGCTGCCCTAAGGACGGTTCTATTAGCACGCAGTGCATCATTTAGCCAGGGAGCAGGAGGGGACTGACGAGCCTGCCGAGATGTGAGAGGACAGAGAGAGTCCAGAGAGGATGAGAGAGTAGAGAGGAGAGTTTCTGCAGCAGAGTTTGAAGGCAGGAGTTGGAACGAGTCAGAGGAAGGGAGGGCTGAGAGCACCGACGAGGCAAAGGTAGAGGGGGAGAGGGAACGAAGGTTACGGCGGACAAGTGCAGGATGAGAAGAGATTAGTTTGTTATGTTTGGAAAGGGGTAGAGAGAATGAAATGAAGAAGTGATCGGATGTGTGGAGCGGGTTTACAGAGAGGTTAGAAGTAGCGCAGTTCCTTGAGAATATGAGATCAAGGACATTGCCAGCTTTATGAGTCGGTGGGGACGGAGACAGTGAGAAAGCAAAGGCGGTTAACAGGGATGTTTGTTCATCTATCTTCCCCGTCTGGAGGTTAAAGTCTCCGAGAAGTACAGCGGGAGGGCCAGTTTCAGGGATGTGTGAGAGGAGATTATCTAATTCCTCCAAGAAGTCCCCCAAGGCGCCTGGTGGACGGTAGAGAACAACAATGGTTAACTGTATAGGATATACACCTGAACATCAGCAGGAGAGGACTCTTTAAAGTAGAGACACTACATACTGATATACACCTGAACATCAGCAGGAGAGCACTCTTTAAAGTAGAGACACTACATACTGATATACATCTGAACATCAGCAGGAGAGCACTCTTTAAAGTAGAGACACTACATACTGATATACATCTGAACATCAGCAGGAGAGGACTCTTTAAAGTAGAGACACTACATACTGATATACACCTGAACATCAGCAGGAGAGGACTCTTTAAAGTAGAGACACTACATACTGATATACATCTGAACATCAGCAGGAGAGGACTCTTTAAAGTAGAGACACTACATACTGATATACATCTGAACATCAGCAGGAGAGGACTCTTTAACGTAGAGACACTACATACTGATATACACCTGAACATCAGCAGGAGAGGACTCTTTAAAGTAGAGACACTACATACTGATATACACCTGAACATCAGCAGGAGAGGACTCTTTAAAGTAGAGACACTACATACTGATATACACCTGAACATCAGCAGGAGAGGACTCTTTAAAGTAGAGACACTACATACTGATACACACCTGAACATCAGCAGGAGAGGACTCTTTAAAGTAGAGACACTACATACTGATATACACCTGAACATCAGCAAGAGAGGACTCTTTAAAGTAGAGACACTACATACTGATATATACCTGAACATCAGCAGGATATAACCCCTTCAAAGTTTCTGCACGTTTTTTGGAATTTAAGCAAGCTAGGAAACAGCTTTTTTGAAGACATAATTATTATTTTGTAAAGAAAGAAAGCATTGCATATGATGGATTATTATTATCACCTTAATAACGATAAGTTTTTTTCCCCTCTTCAGGCTGACGGCTCAGAGGAGTGTTGAGGACGCTGAGGAACTGGAGAGGGAGCGTCGCCGCAGAGCGAGGGAATCGTACTGCTGGACGGACGGAGGCTCGATGCCCGGAGAAACATCGCCGGAGGACGGGATGCCGGCAGAGGAGAGCATGTAAGAACTAATCAACTGTGTGACAATAATAAAACGTAGTCATGCAACATTGCTAAGAAAACAATTAAGTGCTGCACAGAGATGGCAAAAGTACACACATCCTTTACTCAAGTAGAAGTACAGATACTTGCGTTTAAAAATACTCTGGTAAAAGTAGAAGTGCTGACTATACTTCTTTACTCAAGTAGAAACATGTACTTAAGTACCGTAACAAAGTATTTGTACTCCACTAGTTCCCACCTCTGAGTGTCTGCACATGTTTGAATCAGGGTTTCAGGCAGCGTTTGCCATTCAAAAAAATGCAGATATGATATTAAGAAGTCGTTGGATTCCTCGTTCTTGTACTCATGTGAACGCAGGAAGTTATTAAGGGCTGAACATTTTTCACCCGCTCTCCTCGAGTCCAGCCACTTCCTGTACGAGCCGCTAACTGTCGCCGCGTGTTTTTCTACGGGCGATAACTGTGAGTTTAAGAGGTTAGTTCCCAGATGTGAAGCTTTAAAGCTCGTCTGCGTTCATAAAACCAACGTTTCCATCGAGAGAAAACACACACAGCTGCTCTCTCATTACACACCGCAGAGGAATGTTTAATACAAAGCGTCTCCAGGGGAAAACTACCACCGTGTTTCAGAGGACTTTTTATTTTAATTACACCTCCGTCACATCTCAGCTGCAGCCTGTCATTAAAGGTCTTTCTGCGGCGGTGACGTAATGCTGAGTTCAAATGACGCAAATGTTTCAACACCTTAATAGTACTCAATTTAAAGAGTCCTCTCCTGCTGATGTTCAGGTGTATATCAGTAGTGTCTCTACTTTAAAGAGTCCTCTCCTGCTGATGTTCAGGTGTATATCAGTAGTGTCTCTACTTTAAAGAGTCCTCTCCTGCTGATGTTCAGGTGTATATCAGTATGTAGTGTCTCTACTTTAAAGAGTCCTCTCCTGATGATGTTCAGGTGTATATCAGTATGTAGTGTCTCTACTTTAAAATGTAAAATAAACTCCCTCTGGAAGGAAAACAGGGATTTTAGCCTTAGCAGACCATTTACATGCATTCAAACCTACAGAACACACTACAGGAGAGGGAACACCCTAAAAAGCAGAATAAGGCCTCTTTAAGACGCTCATATTCTGGATATCTGCGAAGCTAAATCTGATTTTAATCCCTCAAAAGCACACTTTAATAAACTGGCTTTTATGTGAATCAGTTGCACATTAAGTTCTGTGAAGTTCTGATCTCTAATCTTTAGAGCATTTGGTTTTATTTGTGTTCCTCCTTTATGATGTTTTTATTGTAGACGCCTCTGTGTTTTATTGAATATAAAACACGTTGTAAAACATTGTTTTCAAAAGGCGCTTCACACATAAAGTGTATTATAATTGAAGACAGAATATTTCAGAAAACCTGTAGCTGAGAATCTGAGACTGAGACGAGCAAAACAATTACAAACAGAGATGTGTGTGTGTGTGCACCTGTAGAGTGTGTGCAGGTGTCCTCTCAGAAACACACTGCAGCTCGTTAAGGTTGATTAGCCGCTGAGAGACTCCCATCATGCACTGGGGCCTCTGCCGGCTTCTTAATCATCTTGGGAATGCCGAGTGAATTCCTTTCTGCTCCTGTGATCAAAACACACACTTTCATTACTTCAACTCAGCGAGGAGAACGGGGGAGGGGGCGGATGCTGAGAGGGGAACATCAGCAGGAGAGGACTCTTTAAAGTAGAGACACTACTTAGTACTTACTGATATACACTTGAACATCAGCAGGAGAGGACTCTTTAAAGTAGAGACACTACATACTGATATACATCTGAACATCAGCAGGAGAGGACTCTTTAAAGTAGAGACACTACTTAGTACTTACTGATATACACTTGAACATCAGCAGGAGAGGACTCTTTAAAGTAGAGACACTACATACTGATATACACCTGAACATCAGCAGGAGAGGACTCTTTAAAGTAGAGACACTACACACTGATATACACCTGAACATCAGCAGGAGAGGACTCTTTAAAGTGGAGACACTACATACTGATATACACCTGAACATCAGCAGGAGAGGACTCTTTAAAGTAGAGACACTACATACTGATATACACCTGAACATCAGCAGGAGAGGACTCTTTAAAGTAGAGACACTACATACTGATATACACCTGATCATCAGCAGGAGAGGACTCTTTAAAGTAGAGACACTACATACTGATATACACCTGAACATCAGCAGGAGAGGACTCTTTAAAGTAGAGACACTACATACTGATATACACCTGAACATCAGCAGGAGAGGACTCTTTAAAGTAGAGACACTACACATTAATATACACCTGAACATCAGCAGGAGAGGACTCTTTAAAGTAGAGACACTACACATTAATATACACCTGAACTTGAGATTAATCCTTACTCTTCTATCGTCTCCTCCTTCAGGTACGATGGCGCCCTGAAGCCGAACAGCTCTCCGTCTCTGGAGGAGGACGAGGGCTTCAGTGATTGGACGCAGAGAAGAGAGAGGAGGAGGCAGCAACGCCTGCAGGAACTCAGCCAGGGAGGAGAGGAAGAGGAAGAAGAGGAGAACAGGAAGAACAAATCTGCAGCCGTGAAGTCCGTCCAGACCTCCGTCACCTCCTCCAGCCGACTGCAGAGACAGGAGCACCACCACGAAGACGATGACGAAGAGGAAAGGGTGGAAATGGAGAGGAGGAAGAAGCAAGAAGAGGAAGAGTTTAATCAAGCTGAGAGGATGAGGAGGGAGCAAGAGGAGAAGAGGAGGAAGGAGGAGGTGACGATCAGGAGGAAGGCGGAGGTTCAAAAGCCGAAAGAGGTACGTTTTAATCCAGTGAAGACTTGTCTGAGTCGAGTCTCGAGTCATTCGAATGCACTCATGTCATAAAGAACTATTTCAAAATATAAGTCCAAGTGTAGCTAGAAGATCTGAGTCAGGTCTAAAGTGAAGTTATTTAGGTAATTTGAGAAAGAGTCCAGGTCTAAGTCATCAAAATAACTGAGGGTTGAGGGTCATAAGGAACGATTCAACACGTCGGAGTCAGATTTAAATTGTAAAACTATGAAACTAGACAGAATCGCATTTCAATATTTTTCAGACCATTTCATTTGATACAACTTCGAGTCAAGTTTAAACAATTCTATACTAAGTCTAACGGTGCGTTCACACCGGACGCTTTTGGTTTTTTTGGGCGTGGCATGATTACATGTAAAGTCAATGCAAAGATAGATGGACGCGATTTCGCTTCGGCGGCGCGAATTACGCAATTGACACGATTGAAGGGGGCCGTGTCAATCTCGAGAGTTCATTTTGTTTTATTGGGCCGTCAAATTCGTATGACACGATCTCGAGTTGGCCAATCAGCGGTGAGGATCTCAGCCTGCCGTCACTGACGTGGAATCAGAAAACCAAAACATCAGCTGTTAGCTGTTAGCCGTTAGCCGTTAGCACACAGAGCTCACAGCTCCTCATATCTGTTCAGAAACTGGAGAAAAGTTAAACAAGTACAAACCACAGACTGTCTGTGTCATGGCGAATAAAGTCGCTGCTTTATTTCTATCTGTATCATGTTGTTATGAGTTTGGACGGAGCAGCTACAACGTTAGCTTAGCCTGATCTATCCGATCTCCATTCCGAAAACACACATTTTAAAGGTGTTTCGCCTGCCGTCTGTCTGCAGACTTGTCAAAGCATTAATTCATGGCTTTTAATAACCGGTATCAGTATTAGAGATGGGTGAGTCCTGATAAATCCGGATCATTAACCCGGATCCTAGAAATGAGCTGGTCGTGACGAGTCTCCCCTCTCGATTAACCCAAGTCCTTTGAGTCCTACACCTGGTGTGGGGTGTGACATACAAATTCAAACTATACATTGCTTCACTCGCTACTCTCCTTATAACATGTACATTCACATTACAACGTACCCCATCCATCTGCCTACCCTTTAGCAAGTAGGATAGCTTCCAGAAGTTATCGTTTGGCTCAGGGGACGCGGATCAGTGAAACTTCCTGCAGACTTGTGCGGACTCAGACTCAGAGCCGTAACCGTAGCAGATCCAGAGATCCAGGCAGACGCATCATGCACGAGTCAACAGTAGACTCGGATTCGCAAATCCTGACTCACTGAATCAAGGGAACTTCCTTCACTTCCTGCAGACTCGTGGGGACTCAGAGCCGTAACCGTAGCAGATCCAGAGATCCAGACTTGTCATGCACGAGCATAGCCGCGGAACTGGGAAGTCATTTTACTTAGGGGGTGCGGACAAAAGTGGGGAGAGATTTCAACAACAGTAACATGACGTTTTTCAGCCCCGCCTCCAGCACCCCTACGTCCCGCGGCCATACTTGCTAACCCTCCCGATTTTCGCGGGAGACTCCCGATTTCATTGCCCTCTCCCGGTTTCCTCCCGGGGTCATATTTCTCCCGCATTTATCCCGATTTCTGACCAAATCAGATTTACTCACGACTGTTTCCACTCGGACTTTAATACAGCTACACCATTGTTTGGTTTCCATGGTTGCGTGTCTCTTTAGTAGCGCGCGCAACTGAAAGTCTGAGAGGGCGAGGAAGATAGTCACAGAAAACAGAACAAGAATCGACAATACGACCCTCTGCTCACTCCTTTCCTGTAAAATACAGGTCCAGCCCACACATATGCTCCATCAAGACAGTGCACTTACAACTACAATAAGCATGTTAAGCTGATACAGCTCCGGCGACTCAAGGTTGGCAAGTATGCCCGCGGCTATTGTGCACGAGTCAACAGCAGACTCAGAGATTCGCAAATCCTGACTCACTGTGCAAAACACAGCAGACTCGTGCGGACTCAGAGCCGTAACGGTATAGCATCAGATCCAGAGATCCAGCAGACTCGTCGTCATGCACGAGTCAACAGCAGACTCAGATTTGCCAAATCGCAAAATAACCCTTTATTTTTGTGATCAACATGTTTTATTAAAGCAAAAGACACTGTGTAGCGGAGGTTAATGTAACGTTAGTTTAATATGCTCGTGAAATGCAACAACTTTTCGGTTTCACCGATAGGATTTCTACGCTCTTGGTGATGCTGACTCGTATGACTCAAATGACTCGTATGATCCGGATCTCTTCAATGTTGAACTGTTCGTGTTCAGGTGGAGAAAAGAAAGGAAGTGAAGATCTCCTACACGTCCAAGGTGTTCCTGAACCAAGAGGCGAAACAGAGCAACGGAGACGCGACCAAAGAGGAAGTGACGACCATCAAGAACCAGAAGACAAAGAGATCCACCAGGTGAGTTGACTGTGTTTTATTAATGACTGGAGGTAACGGTGAAATCACAACTGCTTTTGAACCAGAACAGCAGAAGATACGAGTATTTAGAAAGGCAGAATGTTTTCTTTAGTTTTAATATATAAATATATACAGACATACAAGAAAAGGAGGAAGTGAGTTATCAAATGACATCGTTTTTGGTCAAAGACGTCAAATCTTATGGTGAAATAGAATAATTATCAGTCTACAGTTTGCATCAACACTACAGTATATAATCATTTTTAGAAATAAACAAAAACTATGAAAGATACATTTTCAACATCATTTTTTAATCTAACAACCTTATTTTATACATGTTTTATTGCATTACTCTTGTTCTATGCTTATTTTATTCCTATTATATTATATTATCCTCTTCATTTCTGAATTCTTTATTTTCTTCTTCTATTCTTATTGTATCTGTATTTAAAAGTTTGATTGATAAGTTTGTGTAATCCGTGTGAAACATATTCGTAAATATTCCTTAGAATTTTCGACTCAACAAATGTTTTCTCACATGGTTTATAATTGTTTTTTTTATATATTTGCAGCAGCAGATCTGGAGAGGAGGTGGAGGCGGATCAGGAGCTGACGGAGCTGAAGATGAAGAGGGAGGAGAGGCGTAGAGTCCGTGAGGAAGAGGAGCGCCGCAGGGAGGAAGAGGAGCATCAGAAGCCGGCCAAAGAGGAGGTGAAGAAGACTCATTTTGATGACGATAGATACTTCTTCCCTGATGGCTCCCACAGGGTTGTTCACATCCACCTGGATCCATCTTCTTCTTACTTAGAGACACATGTTCAAGCATCTGGACTACCTGTGTTGTAAATGTATTGTCTTTTCAATTTCTATTAGGATCTTCCAGGAGAGCTAAAGCAAAATGTACGCTATAAAAAAAGTGCATCAACCATTGATGGTCAAAATAATTGAAGGGTAGTGTAATATTTCTCCCTGGTTGCTTTCAGATCATTTCCAAAACCTCTCTGATGTTAATTGTTACCAGTAATGTAGATGTCAGACTCTTAAAGAACCAAAGGAACTGTGAAACATGCAGTGTGTCCGCCGCACTCTTTTCCAATAATAGCTAGCAATAGCTCCAAAAGTAGCGAAAGGTCACCGAAAGGTCACCAGATGACGTTGCAAATGTACTTGTATTCAAAGTTTTTAAAGTTTTACATCAAAAGTTGCAGCGTTTAGCAGCTAACGAGAAATACACTTCCTTTCGGAGCTGGAGACCAAACTCGGAGCTAAAAGAGGGAGAATTAGCATCTGTCTTAACCGGGTTTGGGGTTCATTTGTAGTTGTATAAATGTGTATTTGTGTGACCCCCCAGGAGGAGAGGAGGATGATGAAGGAGGACATGGAGAGGACGAGGAGGGTGGAGGCTTCAGAGAGGATGAAGAGCCGGAGTTCGTCCAGCGTGGACGGAGACGAGATGTTCAGTCCCTTCAGCCCCAAAACTCCCAAGGTGAATATCACCTGCAGCTACATGTTGCTCAGTAATGCAGTATTCTGATCAACAGAGTTGACTCACAGGAACCTTTACAGCTTCTTAACGTTCAACAGGCCATTTTTAAAAGCTTGGGACATTATTAAGTTATGCAAAACCTCAAACACAAGTTAAAGGGAATCTAAAGACGTTTCATGTAGGAACGATCTACTAATGGTGACCTCCTTGGCAGAGATACAACATTTAGTGGTGGGGATGAAATGATTCAATAATAAGGGTTATAGTGTGACTGAACAGTTGAGTTACACAACATGTTTACACACGTCTCTTTCCGAATGTAAGTCAATGGGAACAATCAGTATCAGTTAGCGTCTTCCGTGTGGCGTTGCAGTTGGTGGGTGGGCTGTAACCCCAGGAACACTCTTAGAGAAAGAGAGAATTGATTGTGGCTCTCTGTCATGATGTCAACTGGGTAGGCTTTCAATCAAGCGGATGACTCTAGATCACAGCCACTATCTGGACTACGTGTGTGTGTGTGTGTGTGTGTGTGTGTGTGTGTGTGTGTGTGTGTGTGTGTGTGTGTGTGTGTGTGTGTGTGTGTGTGTGTGTGTGTGTGTGTGTGTGTGGTGTGTGTGTGTGTGTGGTGTGTGTGTGTGTGTGTGTGTGTGTGTGTGTGTGTGTGTGTGTGTGGTGTGTGTGTGTGTGTGTGTGTGTGTGTGTGTGTGTGTGTGTGTGTGTGTGTGTGTGTGTTGTGTGTGTGTGTGTGTGTGTGTGTGTGTGTGTGTGTGTGTGTGTGTGTTGTGTGTGTGTGTTGTGTGTGTGTGTGTGTTGTGTGTGTGTGTGTGTGTGTGTGTGTGTGTAATTACAGTTTTTAATCCGGTGTAAAAGTTACATTTTGGGACTCTGTGTATTTTGACGACAATCACTGATGCAAATGTGAGCATGGCACTGCATGTGTGTTCTGCACCTTTCTAATTTTAAAGACACAATCGCACCATGAGTTAACGTGAACGTTACACAGCTAACCCTAAACAGTATGTGTAACCGACATTAAATGCTACTTTTATCAGTGGTTGAAACCAGAAATGTATACATGTGTTTGTAAAAGGGAGGATTTGTGTCTTCACATTGTTGTTGAAGACGAGAAACACATGCATACCCTGCACCCACATCTTTAAATATATATATCTGAAGAAGTAGTTAAATGTTCTCCGCTTAGTGTAACTTTAGCAGCTGAGGGTGGAGATGAGCAGTATACACACTACACATTACAGAAAGGTCTGACACGATGCCTGAAATGCCTCCATTGGACTCCTTTGTCTACTTCCAGAACATAATGACATCACTATGTAACACTCACACTCCTATTGGCTAGCGCTGCAACTCGTTGTACGTGATGGCTGAGCGGCGGGACATCTCTAAGCTGTTGACAAATCATAACAGAGCCTACAAGCTAACCAATCAGAGCAGACTGGGCTCTGGTTTCAGACAGAGGGCGAACATGAGCATTTTATGGCCCCTTTAATATATCATTTGTTTTCAGTACTTGTCGTAATAGTTAGAAAGTGTTGATTTACAGAACCCGTGTTTTCTTGCATTAATTAACTATGCAAATATTTAAGATTTAGTATTAATATTTAAGTCAACTTTCTTGTCAATCTTTCAGTTTGAGAGATCGAAATACTGTTTCCCTAAATCCAGAGGAATACAAACATACAGATATATATATATATATATGTTTGTACACACATATGTACAGAAACACAATCAACAGATTCAGATTTACATTTCCGAAGCTAAAAGCGTAAGAGACTTTGCTACAGGAAGCTCAAAGAGGGAAATGAGAGCTGTTGGTGGGAAACACAAAAAGCAACAATGGGATCAAAATCTGACGGCATGATTGATTTGATTCACCTGAGAGCAAGCCAAGAAAACATTGAAACTACACGATGCTAATCAGACCCTGATGACTCCAACAGTTTGATGAAGGCCAGCAGACTCAGGCTCTGTGGTTGTTGGCGCTCCAAACTGTAATGAACTAATCCTAAATCACGGCGACCTTCCCGTGTCCCTCAGGAAAAATGACCTCAGACTTCTTCTTCTTCCAGATCACAGAGAGGACCGAGTCTCTGAGCCGCTCTCTGAAGAAAAGGTGAGTTTCCTCCTCAGAGAGAGGACAAAAGTACATCCTTTCCTCAAGTAGAAGTACAGATACTCGTGTTTAAAGATACTCTGGTGAAAGTAGAAGTACTGACTAAACTTCTTTCCTCAAGTCAAAGTAAAGAGGCTTTGAAATGTCCTTGTTAGCTAATGAAATCAAATCAGGTTTTATTTATATAACACATTTTTAAAACGATTTTTGGACGAGCCAAAGTGCTGTATGTAAAATAATTACCTTACAGTAAGGACACAATATAGTAAATACAACAGCACAGATTGTGCAGGTCCTCAGACCTTCTGTCCTTAGACCCTGTGTCCTTAGACCCTCACAACGTACAAGGAAACACTTCCAGAGAAAACCCACAGTTTAAAGGGAACATGGGAGAAACCTCAGGGAGAGCAACAGAGGAGGGATCCCTCTCCCAGGACGGACAGACGTGCAATAGATGCCGTGTGAAAATCGAAGAGATAATACATTTTAAATGCATGTGTCTGTAATAAGAAGATGAATCCACGAGGATGTCAGCTACAATCCTGTGGGAGCCATCAGGGAAGCAGCATGACGAGACCCAAGGCAGGACCGTAGAGACAGGTTCAGCCATGACTTAATCCAGAACTCAGGATAGAGGATCCAGGACACAGGACTACAGCAAGAGGATCAGCCTCGACTCAGGATCCCGGCGTAGATATAGACACAAAAGAAAAAGAACATTTGGGGGAGGCTGGGTTCATCGGAACATGCAAATACACAGACAGGCACTCGCAGGGAGCAAGGTCCCCACTGGGGTCTCAGTTGGAATTGGGGAGAGATAAGGAGGTACGCTGTGACTACGGCATAACACTCCCCGGCCTTGAATAAGGACCCCTCTGCTAACCTGTTTCCCTCCAATAAAACCTCGTGAGGTCATGGAGGGAAAAGGTTTTGGATAAAGAAAAAATAGAAAGAGTAGTAATAACCTTAGTTTTAAATATAAGATCCAAGTTTTTAGGATTTAAGTGAAAGAGCAAGAACCAAAATGTAGGTGAAGAGGCACAGCGTATCTGCGTCAAAGCACTCTCATTAGGTCATTCTATCAACTATAAGCTTTATCAAAAGGAAGGTCTTAAGCGTACTCTTGAAACGGATAGGCTGTCGGCCGCCCGAACACAAACTGGAAGCTGATTCCACAAAAGTGGAGCTTGATAAGAAAAGGCTAGAAGGCCAGGGAGAAGAAGTGAGTTGTAAGTGTTGATTTAAAACCCCCAGGGTCTGGGCCGACCTCACATGGAGGGGCAGAGTGTTCCAGAGCCTGGGCCCGCTTCTGCCAAGGGTTTTAAGCCTGGTCTTGGGCACTATCAACAGCAGCTGGTCAGCCGACCTTAAGGCTCTGGCTGGGGTGTAGCGCTGGAGGAGTTCGGCTATATAGGCCGGAGCCAGCCCATTTAGGGCTTTGAAAACAAAGGAGTTTAAAATCTATTCTGAACCGAACTGGAAGCCAGTGTAGTGAGGCCAGAATTGGGGTGATGTGTTTGTGCTAATGAATGTTTCCATGCTGAACAACGGCAACATGACAACGTTTTCATTAGGCGCTTTCACACCGCAGTACTTTTACCACTTTAGTTCCGATAGTTCCGAAATGTTGCGTTCACACCAAAAGAACCTTTTTCACCCCCTTTTCCGAGAGAAAAACTAGAGAGCAGGTACTTTCATGGGAGAAAAAGGTTCCTATGTCTGATTGGCTGGGCGGATTGCAAACCACGCCCCGTAAAACTCCCAAAAAGTTTTGTGAAGCCGCCATTTTATTATCCTCGCATTATTAGCATTAGCCCAGCGCAGAAACGCAGAGAGACTAACACAAAAGAAAACATGGGAGCGGTGGAGATGAGGAGGTTCTGGCGATTTACTCGGAAGGCTTCAGTAGAAGCTGCTGGGAGTCCCAGCAGCTTCGACTGAAGCCAGTCCCCAACTCCGGGGACTTCCGGCCAGGGGCTTTGGGCGGCAGTATACGCCGTGAAGTGGTTTGCGGCCTGCCAGTAAACCCAAAGCAGAAGAAGAAGAAGAAGTGACGTCAGCGGCTCATTTGCCTAATCCTCCCTCAGGGACTTATTCCGGTGTGAACGCGATCTGTACTTAGTTCATGAGAACTAAAGAGTTCTCAGGAACCTTTGTGGGAAAAGTACTGCGGTGTGAAAGCGCCTGTTGGTCCTGACGTTTCCATTGGTCCCTCTTCTTTAGAGAAGACCAGGAAATGATGGATACACGGATCGTGTTCAAATCAATAGGCACGCAATGACTCTAAAGAATAATGATCACGCACCAAACACACATTCAGACTAAAGGAACCAGCTGTTTGGAAAATGAGAGAAGTAGAAAGTACAAGTATTTGAGTTCAACATGTGAGAAGTAGAAAGTACAGGTATTTGAGTTCAACATGTAAGAAGTAGAAAGTACAGGTATTTGTGTTCAACATGTGAGAAGTAGAAAGTACAAGTATTTGAATTCAACATGTAAGAAGTAGAAAGTACAAGTATTTGAGTTCAACATGTAAGAAGTAGAAAGTACAGGTATTTGAGTTCAACATGTAAGAAGTAGAAAGTACAGGTATTTGTGTTCAACATGTAAGAAGTAGAAAGTACAGGTATTTGTGTTCAACATGTAAGAAGTAGAAAGTACAAGTATTTGAGTTCAACATGTAAGAAGTAGAAAGTACAGGTATTTGAGTTCAACATGTAAGAAGTAGAAAGTACAGGTATTTGAGTTCAACATGTAAGAAGTAGAAAGTACAGGTATTTGAGTTCAACATGTAAGAAGTAGAAAGTACAGGTATTTGAGTTCAACATGTAAGAAGTAGAAAGTACAGGTATTTGTGTTCAACATGTAAGAAGTAGAAAGTACAGGTATTTGTGTTCAACATGTAAGAAGTAGAAAGTACAGGTATTTGTGTTCAACATGTAAGAAGTAGAAAGTACAGGTATTTGGGTTCAACATGTAAGAAGTAGAAAGTACAGGTATTTGTGTTCAAGATGTAAGAAGTAGAAAGTACAGGTATTTGGGTTCAACATGTAAGAAGTAGAAAGTACAGGTATTTGTGTTCAACATGTAAGAAGTAGAAAGTACAGGTATTTGGGTTCAACATGTAAGAAGTAGAAAGTACAGGTATTTGAGTTCAACATGTAAGAAGTAGAAAGTACAGGTATTTGGGTTCAAGATGTAAGAAGTAGAAAGTACAGGTATTTGTGTTCAACATGTAAGAAGTAGAAAGTACAGGTATTTGTGTTCAACATGTGAGAAGTAGAAAGTACAGGTATTTGGGTTCAACATGTAAGAAGTAGAAAGTACAGGTATTTGGGTTCAAGATGTAAGAAGTAGAAAGTACAGGTATTTGGGTTCAACATGTGAGAAGTAGAAAGTACAAGTATTTGAATTCAACATGTAAGAAGTAGAAAGTACAAGTATTTGAGTTCAACATGTAAGAAGTAGAAAGTACAGGTATTTGAGTTCAACATGTAAGAAGTAGAAAGTACAGGTATTTGTGTTCAACATGTAAGAAGTAGAAAGTACAAGTATTTGAGTTCAACATGTAAGAAGTAGAAAGTACAGGTATTTGAGTTCAACATGTAAGAAGTAGAAAGTACAGGTATTTGGGTTCAAGATGTAAGAAGTAGAAAGTACAGGTATTTGGGTTCAACATGTGAGAAGTAGAAAGTACAAGTATTTGAATTCAACATGTAAGAAGTAGAAAGTACAAGTATTTGAGTTCAACATGTAAGAAGTAGAAAGTACAGGTATTTGAGTTCAACATGTAAGAAGTAGAAAGTACAGGTATTTGTGTTCAACATGTAAGAAGTAGAAAGTACAAGTATTTGAGTTCAACATGTAAGAAGTAGAAAGTACAGGTATTTGAGTTCAACATGTAAGAAGTAGAAAGTACAGGTATTTGAGTTCAACATGTAAGAAGTAGAAAGTACAGGTATTTGAGTTCAACATGTAAGAAGTAGAAAGTACAGGTATTTGAGTTCAACATGTAAGAAGTAGAAAGTACAGGTATTTGTGTTCAACATGTAAGAAGTAGAAAGTACAGGTATTTGAGTTCAACATGTAAGAAGTAGAAAGTACAGGTATTTGAGTTCAACATGTAAGAAGTAGAAAGTACAGGTATTTGTGTTCAACATGTAAGAAGTAGAAAGTACAGGTATTTGTGTTCAACATGTAAGAAGTAGAAAGTACAGGTATTTGGGTTCAACATGTAAGAAGTAGAAAGTACAGGTATTTGGGTTCAACATGTAAGAAGTAGAAAGTACAGGTATTTGTGTTCAAGATGTAAGAAGTAGAAAGTACAGGTATTTGGGTTCAACATGTAAGAAGTAGAAAGTACAGGTATTTGTGTTCAACATGTAAGAAGTAGAAAGTACAGGTATTTGGGTTCAACATGTAAGAAGTAGAAAGTACAGGTATTTGAGTTCAACATGTAAGAAGTAGAAAGTACAGGTATTTGGGTTCAAGATGTAAGAAGTAGAAAGTACAGGTATTTGTGTTCAACATGTAAGAAGTAGAAAGTACAGGTATTTGTGTTCAACATGTGAGAAGTAGAAAGTACAGGTATTTGGGTTCAACATGTAAGAAGTAGAAAGTACAGGTATTTGGGTTCAAGATGTAAGAAGTAGAAAGTACAGGTATTTGGGTTCAACATGTAAGAAGTAGAAAGTACAGGTATTTGTGTTCAACATGTGAGAAGTAGAAAGTACAGGTATTTGGGTTCAACATGTAAGAAGTAGAAAGTACAGGTATTTGGGTTCAACATGTAAGAAGTAGAAAGTACAGGTATTTGTGTTCAACATGTAAGAAGTAGAAAGTACAGGTATTTGGGTTCAACATGTAAGAAGTAGAAAGTACAGGTATTTGAGTTCAACATGTAAGAAGTAGAAAGTACAGGTATTTGAGTTCAACATGTAAGAAGTAGAAAGTACAGGTATTTGGGTTCAACATGTAAGAAGTAGAAAGTACAGGTATTTGAGTTCAACATGTAAGAAGTAGAAAGTACAGGTATTTGAGTTCAACATGTAAGAAGTAGAAAGTACAGGTATTTGGGTTCAACATGTAAGAAGTAGAAAGTACAGGTATTTGGGTTCAACATGTAAGAAGTAGAAAGTACAGGTATTTGAGTTCAACATGTAAGAAGTAGAAAGTACAGGTATTTGGGTTCAACATCTAAGAAGTAGAAAGTACAGGTATTTGAGTTCAACATGTAAGAAGTAGAAAGTACAGGTATTTGGGTTCAACATGTGAGAAGTAGAAAGTACAGGTATTTGGGTTCAACATGTAAGAAGTAGAAAGTACAGGTATTTGAGTTCAACATGTAAGAAGTAGAAAGTACAGGTATTTGGGTTCAACATCTAAGAAGTAGAAAGTACAGGTATTTGGGTTCAACATGTAAGAAGTAGAAAGTACAGGTATTTGGGTTCAACATCTAAGAAGTAGAAAGTACAGGTATTTGAGTTCAACATGTAAGAAGTAGAAAGTACAGGTATTTGGGTTCAACATGTAAGAAGTAGAAAGTACAGGTATTTGGGTTCAACATGTAAGAAGTAGAAAGTACAGGTATTTGGGTTCAAGATGTAAGAAGTAGAAAGTACAGGTATTTGGGTTCAACATGTAAGAAGTAGAAAGTACAGGTATTTGTGTTCAACATGTAAGAAGTAGAAAGTACAGGTATTTGTGTTCAACATGTAAGAAGTAGAAAGTACAGGTATTTGTGTTCAACATGTAAGAAGTAGAAAGTACAGGTATTTGTGTTCAACATGTAAGAAGTAGAAAGTACAGGTATTTGTGTTCAACATGTAAGAAGTAGAAAGTACAGGTATTTGTGTTCAACATGTAAGAAGTAGAAAGTACAGGTATTTGTGTTCAACATGTAAGAAGTAGAAAGTACAGGTATTTGAGTTCAACATGTAAGAAGTAGAAAGTACAGGTATTTGGGTTCAACATGTAAGAAGTAGAAAGTACAGGTATTTGGGTTCAACATGTAAGAAGTAGAAAGTACAGGTATTTGGGTTCAACATGTGAGAAGTAGAAAGTACAGGTATTAGTGTTCAACATGTAAGAAGTAGAAAGTACAGGTATTTGTGTTCAACATGTAAGAAGTAGAAAGTACAGGTATTTGAGTTCAACATGTATACGTAGAAAGTAATCAGAAAAATAAGTAGTGGAGTAAAGTACTGATACCAGAAACATGTACTTAAGTACAGAAACCAAGTATTTGTACTCCACTACCTCCCACCTCTGTTATCAGTGAAGGTGACCCCTGCACCTCCGTCCTCAGAAACAGATTTACAGCTCAGTCCAGTCTGTCTGTGGGAGGCTTTTATTTAGAAAATGATGCATCAGGAGCAGGAACAGAGCTGCAGAAAGCCAGTTCCTCTTCCTCAAATCCTCTCAGTTAAATGATAAGATGGAATATGTATCTGGCAATGAGGGAAAACATGGAAAGTTAGAAATCAGAATTTGTCCCAGAACCGAGGAAATGTACATTTAATAAACAAAGGAGACAAAGTTAAAATAAAATGAGTAGAGTAAGGAGCAGCCTTATCAAATTAACTTAAAGGTCACCTATCGTGCTATTTGTAGGCAAAGGATAGGTCTCAGATATATAAAAAACACGTCTATGAAGTGTTTTGCTCCAAACACCAAACAGATCATTCTAGCCATGCCTCATATCCCTCTGTTTCACTTCCTGTTTCTAAAGTGCTGATTTGGGGATAAAGCTTTGAAGAGGAGGGTCTGAGCTCATGTGGGACCCGGCAGCTACTGTCTAAACTAAATGCTGCCGTGATGAAACTCCATATCATATACGGATGAAAAGAGAGAGGGTTTTAAAAAGTGCATTTTGCATGGTAGGTTCCTTTAACTTCTGTAATAATAATACATGGGATTTTTATAGCACTTTTCCTAATGCTCAAAGACGCTTAGAAAGCAGACATTATGTTAGTTAGCCTAAAAAGGGCCTGAATTATAGACAAAATCCCAATGAGGGTTCTGTGAAAATGTCTAAAATGGAAAATAATATGTATTTAATTTGGGTTATAATAAATCTCATTCGTGTTTTAATTTTGTATTTCAGTAACAGCTTCAAGAAGACGCAGCCGCTCGGTCTGCTGATCAAGATCGACGACAAGAGGGAGCAATACGCACACGCTGTGGAGGTATACACACACACACACACACACACACACACACACACACACACACACACACACACACACACACACACACACACACACACACACACACACACACACACAACACACACACAAACTACAAAAAACACTGTTAAGGTGTATTGCGGTAGAATAGGACACCTGAGACTTGACATTGGTCACAATGTAAAGTTGGATTTAAAAAAAAAAAAGGTGTTTTAATATTTAGAGGGGAAGAGGGTACGTGAAGAAGAGGGGACACATGTTGATGTAGAAGAGACATGAAGAAGAGGGGACACATGTTGATGTAGAAGAGACATGAAGAAGAGGGGACACATGTTGATGTAGAAGAGACATGAAGAAGAGGGGACACATGTTGATGTAGAAGAGACATGAAGAAGAGGGGACACATGTTGATGAAGAAGAGACATGAAGAAGAGGGGACACATGTTGATGTAGAAGAGACGTGAAGAAGAGGGGACACATGTTGATGTAGAAGAGACATGAAGAAGAGGGGACACATGTTGATGTAGAAGAGACATGAAGAAGAGGGGAAACATGTTGATGTAGAAGAGACATGGAGAAGAGGGGACACATGTTGCTGTAGAAGAGACATGAAGAAGAGGGGACACATGTTGATGTAGAAGAGACATGAAGAAGAGGGGACACATGTTGATGTAGAAGAGACATGAAGAAGAGGGGACACATGTTGATGTAGAAGAGACATGAAGAAGAGGGGACACATGTTGATGAAGAAGAGACATGAAGAAGAGGGGACACATGTTGATGTAGAAGAGACATGAAGAAGAGGGGACACATGTTGATGTAGAAGAGACATGGAGAAGAGGGGACACATGTTGATGTAGAAGAGACATGAAGAAGAGGGGACACATGTTGATGTAGAAGAGACATGAAGAAGAGGGGAAACATGTTGATGTAGAAGAGACATGAAGAAGAGGGGACACATGTTGATGTAGAAGAGACATGGAGAAGAGGGGACACATGTTGATGTAGAAGAGACGTGAAGAAGAGGGGACACATGTTGATGTAGAAGAGACATGAAGAAGAGGGGACACATGTTGATGTAGAAGAGACATGAAGAAGAGGGGACACATGTTGATGTAGAAGAGACATGAAGAAGAGGGGACACATGTTGATGTAGAAGAGACATGGAGAAGAGGGGACACATGTTGATGTAGAAGAGACATGAAGAAGAGAGGACACATGTTGATGTAGAAGAGACATGAAGAAGAGGGGACACATGTTGATGTAGAAGAGACATGAAGAAGAGGGGACACATGTTGATGTAGAAGAGACATGGAGAAGAGGGGACACATGTTGATGTAGAAGAGACATGAAGAAGAGGGGACACATGTTGATGTAGAAGAGACATGAAGAAGAGGGGACACATGTTGATGTAGAAGAGACATGCAGAAGAGGGGACATGTGTTGATGTAGAAGAGACATGAAGAAGAGGGGACACATGTTGATGTAGAAGAGACATGAAGAAGAGGGGACACATGTTGATGTAGAAGAGACATGAAGAAGAGGGGACACATGTTGATGTAGAAGAGACATGAAGAAGTGCATTTTGCATGATAGGTGACCTTTAATGCTAAGCTAACTAGCTGCTTGTTAGCTCCAGGTCTTGTTTTAAAGAGCGCATACGTCCCACTGCTCCTCTGCTGTGTCCGCTCTCTCATGACCTCTTGGTGACTCTCTTTGTTTTGACACCAGCTGAAGTTAAAGAGCAGCTCTGACCCTTTTTGTGCCGAGGTCACAGGTCTGTCTGTGCAGCACCTGGGCGACGACAGCAGCTCTGTTTTTATTTCTGACAGATATACGACGTGTGACAACCGCCTTATTTTTACCTCTCTGTCCCCTGTTATTTATGTTGTACTCCTCACCTCAGACTGAGATAACAGGGGAACTCTTTTAGAAAGGTGTTAATATTATCAGTGGAGAGTAAATACAAGTGCAATAAAATACATTTTGATAAAGTTTTAATGCTTGTATTATAGAAAGTTTAATATATCTTAAATATATAATAATAACACCACATTCAGAAGTACGTATTAGCCCTCCGTACATCCAGAAGTTAGCATTATTCTGAGACATTTTATTACGTAACCCCAAGAAATTACGATGTTGTCACATGACAGCTTTCCGGTTCTCTAAACCCCAGTTTGTGTTGTTTGTGTTGCAGAACTCCCAGGAGGCGAGGGCAGTGAAGGCATCACTGAGCGACTTACCTGGCTCACCTGAGGTCGTTTCCTCCAAGAAGAACCTGTTTGAGGCCGGAGAGACTTGGAGTCCCAGCAGGGGGGCCAGTTGCAAGGTGAGAAAACACTCAAAGAAAACACCACTTCCTGCTACAACAGGAAGTACTTGATTAACCCGGGTCGAATTGTCAATTTAGTTTTGAGTGAAATGACCAGGAAGAATCGAAGTGGCAGCCATGATGAGAGCTGTTCGAATTCTCTAGATGGTAGGAAAGGAACTTTGAAACTTCCTTTATAACCTCCTTTCGTTTAGGAATCACTGGACCTTCCTTTACGAAATGAAAAGAGAAAATGCTGCCCCACAATGCCTTGCGGCGGCAGCCATGACCATTCAGAGAAACAACCGTAGTTGTAGTTTCATCACGGCAGACGCACATTAATAACGTCATAAATACGTTGGATAGTGTCAGTATAGTCCAGGGGTGGCCAACCAGTCAGAGGTTAAGAGCCACATCAAACACACAGTCACTGATACCGCTTGTTTCAGTTTTTTGTTTTCTGGAGACAAGATTTCAACCACGTCACTGATGCATCTTTGTGGCATTGGGATATATATTTTGTCAATCCTCTGGAGCAGAGAGAGGAGCTTATTGTTATTGATTAATGCATCAGTGTTTCTTAGGGTCAAAAACAATAAACTCACAACTTAAAATGAAAGCGTTTAGTTTATTTAATAAAAGAGCACATGTTCAATGTGAAAAGTGACAGTAGTTATAGATTATTTGCAATTTGGTGCTATATATATATTTAAAAAAAATATATATATATATATTTTTTTTAAACACCTTGAATTTCAGGGGGGGGCGCGGGGCTCTGTTGGCGGGGCGCAGCGCCCCTCCAAGACAATGGTAGGGGAAACACTGGATAGTGTTTAATCAACGATAGGTTTCCCCCCCTCAAAGGTGATTGGTTCACTGCATCACAGGTATTATTGTGATTGGCTCTTGGGCCACATCAAAATTAGACGCGCTGTCATCCTCTCATACTGACTCCTGACACCACACATACACACGTAGGGAGAGCCGGGACGAAAGTAACACGGGACGAAAGTAACACGGGACGAAAGTAACACGGGACGAAAGTAACACGGGACGAAAGTAACACGGGACGAAAGTAACACGGGACGAAAGTAACACGGGACGAAAGTAACACGGGACGAAAGTAACACGGGACGAAAGTAACGGAGCGATTTTATCTGAGCCCAAACAACTTTGACCGGCCAAATTACGTCAGAATTATCAGCATTCAATACTTAACAGACCTACTAAATATCAGGTTTAACTGTCAGGAGTAGCTAGTGCTGTCACGATACCAACATTTTGGTTTCGATACCAAGTCAAGAATTGCGATTCCGATTATTTTTCGATACTTTGATTTAAAAAAGGGAAACAGTCTTAAATGTAATTGTTGTGCTTTATTTCACACCAGAACCAGAACACAAACGTTTAAACAATGACAACGATAAATAAAATAAATGACAAGAATTCGTATCAAATACAATTAATACATGTCTTACAGACAGGCCTCGTGGTGTCCGTAGGCTTGCCCTCACTGTCAGAGATATAGCTAAAATACATCGCTTCTGGAGTCTTTTTTGTCAACAAGCCGAGACGCAGCGGTCGCTGCACTCCCACTTGCAGCCATGCTTCTCGTTTTCTCACATGCTCTGGCAGCTAGCGCGTGGCCGAGAGAGGGGAGGCACTTGAGCGTGCTTGAGAGGGGCGGGACTGCAGGCACGGCTGCAGTGCAGGGAGTGGAAGCAGAGCGCTGAACACACACGGCTCTTATTAAAACAGCGCTTTCTCACCGGAGTACTTTCCCCCGTCATTCTTAAAGTACCGATACTAATGAAACGGAGGAATCGTAACGTTTTTAACGGCAGGGTATCGCGGTACCTTTCAAGTATCGGTACACCGTGCAACACTTGTCAGGAGTCAGTGTCTCTCCCCCAAACTCACACAATTCGATATGAACTGAAGAGCCGCATGGAACTAGGCAAAGAGCCGCATGCGGCTCGAGAGCCGCAGGTTGGCCACCCCTGGTATAGTCGGATTCTCAGAGCATAATGGTCGTCTTTTCCTCATTCCTTATGATTTCTCCTAGTTTAAGGAATAGTGGTTAGGAAAAGACGATAGGAGCCTATTTTTTGACCATTCTACTGCAACCTCACTTCAACAGGAAGTACCTGCTTTCCTCAAAACCCCAAGAGAAAGGGACTCAAAGTGGGTCCTGTCATAAATGAATGGCATTAAACACCAGAAACAGTGATGTGAATTTGCAGAAAGTAACACAAAAACCCAACGTAATTTCACCAGAATTGTACTGTTTTTTCAACAACAAAAAAAAGGTCTAAATTAAATATATTCAACGCTGATTTTTTTACCCAAAAATATAGGGTTTAGTTGCACATAATGCAGTTCTGGTTAGAGACACATGAATGCTTTTACTCCTATTTAGAACATGGAGTGGTGGTGCACTACAGCCTCTTGTGGCTGGAATAAGTATTACAACTACAATGAAAGATGTTTTTACATGACAAAAGTTAAAATAAATGGAAAGAAAATCTCACCTTTCCATTATTCATAAAGACTGGAGGGAATCAGACTTAAAAAATGTATTGGTTTGATTGATTTTTTTGTCTTAATTTGCCTCTCAGGGCTTCCGTACAGACCATAAAACTGACAACATGGCAATTAATTTGAGCTAATTTACTCCAAAAAAAACCTCCAGCAGATTAGAAACTCGCCAAAATAATTCTAGCACATTTTGATATTGATTGAAGCAGTTCATTAACAAATCAATTAATCTATTGTATTTATTTTCTGTGCATCAGGACACTGAGGGGTTGAAGGTGGGCGTGGCCAATCGGATCACCCAGTGGGTGAAGGGGCCGACGGACGGCAGCAGAACATCGCTTAAACCCGCAGTAAGTCAGAAACACTACCTTATTATGACGCACTAAGTCCTTACGTTATATACTAAGTCTTTATCTTCAGGCATTAAAGGGGACCTATCATGCAAAATGCACGTTTTGATGTCTTTTATACATAACTATGTGTCCCCGGTGTGTCGGGGAACTCACGCAGCGTCAGAAAATAAAACCCTCTCTCTTTTCCTCCGTACCCAAATCTCTAAAAACGGGGAACAACGGAGCTGATCCAGATTTGCGTCCGATATGACGTAATATCTGAAATGTGGACCCACGGGCCAATCAGAAAGTTGCTCTCAGAAACAATGCCCGTCTGTTTTGGATGTAATATGGTCGGTGTTTACATTAGCATCGCTAACACTCAGAGCTAACCTGTACTGGAGAGCATGTGTGTGAAGAAGCAGGAAGTAAAAAGGAACTCACCTTGTGGTATAACCGGCAAGAGAGAAAGCCTTTGAGCTCCAGACTGTTTCAGAGAGAATCCTTGATGATCCATGATATGGCGTTTCATCACGGCAGCATTTAGTTTAGACAGTAGCTGCCGGGTCTCGCATGAGCTCCGCCCCCTCCTCTTTAAAGCTTTATCCCCAAATCAGCACTTTAGAATCAGGAAGTGAAATAGAGGGATATGAGGCGTGGCTAGAATGATCTGTTTGGTGTTTGGAGCAAAACACTTCATAGACGTGTTTTTTATATATATTTTTATATATCTGAGACCTATGCTGTTGCCTACAAATAGCATGATAAGTGACCTTTAAGTCCCTTTTTGACATACTAAGTCATTATTTTGGATACTAAGCTATTGTTTGATTTAATAAGTCATTATTTGAGATAAAAACTCATTATTTGGACATACTTATTATCTTCAGATATAACGAACTTTTTTTTAGGTACAAAGTCATTATTTTGAAGTCCTCAATTTCAAGATAAGATAAGTACATTCAGATGCTAATAGTTTTACTTCAGTTGGATCCCGAGTGCAGAATTTTTACATATTTGTACTTCAGTAAAACAACTTCCCCCACTGACTGTCCGTGGTGAGTTCAGGAGCAGCTGCACAGTTAGTTAATGTGAGGTTTCCCTCTTGTGGAGAAACTGGATATAACCTAATTATCAATTATTAATGATTGATTATTGATTAATCTGTCAGGACGTGAGGCCCGGAGATGTGATGCAGAAAAAAAACATGTGGGAGATTATCGGAGACTCTACAGGGAGACCAGGACAAAGTGCTAAGGTACACACACACACACACACACACACACACACACACACACACACACACACACACACACACACACACACACACACACACACACACACACACACACACACGATTTTTATAAAATTGTAATAGTCTAACGATGTCTATATTGTATTTCTATGTGCTGATTTCCTCCCTCATACCTTTACAATTACGTATTTAGACTATTGTGATGTATTGTTTTAAAACTGGATTAACTAACTTTCTGTATTTTACGATCAGAAAACTACAGCTAGTTTAGACTCTTAAAGAAAATAAAACAATGCTTACTGTATGACATTGCAAGTAATGGTAGACTTACTTTTTAAGACTAAATCTTTTTTTTAAATTATTTCTTCTAGCTATTTTTTTTTTATTGACACATTTATGGATCGATTTGACATTTTATTGATAACATTTTTAGAAAACTGTATCTGTGTTTATAGTATGTGAAGTACTCAGATCTTGTACTTCAGTAAAAGTAGAAGTACTCAGATCTTGTACTTCAGTAAAAGTAGAAGTACTCAGATCTTGTGCTTGAGTAAAAGTAGAAGTACTCAGATCTTGTACTTGAGTAAAAGTAGAAGTAATCAGATCTTGTACTTCAGTAAAAGTAGAAGTACTCAGATCTTGTACTTGAGTAAAAGTAGAAGTACTCAGATCTTGTACTTGAGTAAAAGTAGAAGTACTCAGATCTTGTACTTCAGTAAAAGTAGCAGTAATCAGATCTTGTACTTGAGTAAAAGTAGAAGTACTCAGATCTTGTACTTCAGTAAAAGTAGAAGTAATCAGATCTTGTACTTAGTAAAAGTAGAAGTACTCAGATCTTGTACTTCAGTAAAAGTAGAAGTACTCAGATCTTGTACTTCAGTAAAAGTAGAAGTACTCAGATCTTGTACTTGAGTAAAAGTAGAAGTACTCAGATCTTGTACTTCAGTAAAAGTAGAAGTACTCAGATGTTGTGCTTGAGTAAAAGTAGAAGTACTCAGATCTTGTACTTGAGTAAAAGTAGAAGTAATCAGATCTTGTACTTCAGTAAAAGTAGAAGTACTCAGATGTTGTTATTGAGTAAAAGTAGAAGTACTCAGATCTGGACTTGAGTAAAAGTAGAAGTACTCAGATCTTGTACTTCAGTAAAAGTAGAAGTACTCAGATGTTGTTATTGAGTAAAAGTAGAAGTACTCTGATCTTGTACTTGAGTAAAAGTAGAAGTACTCAGATCTGGACTTGAGTAAAAGTAGAAGTACTCAGATCTTGCACTTAAGTAAAAGGAGAAGTACTCAGATCTTGTACTTGAGTAAAAGTAGAAGTACTCAGATCTGGACTTGAGTAAAAGTAGAAGTACTCAGATATTGTACTTGAGTAAAAGTAGAAGTACTCAGATATTGTACTCGAGTAAAAGTAGAAGTACTCAGATATTGTACTTGAGTAAAAGTAGAAGTTCTCAGATCTTGTTCTTGAGTAAAAGTAGAAGTACTCAGATCTTGTACTTGAGTAACAGTAGAAGTACTCAGATCTTGTACTTGAGTAACAGTAGAAGTACTCAGATCTTGTACTTGAGTAAAAGTAGAAGTACTCAGATATTGTACTTGAGTAAAAGTAGAAGTACTCAGATATTGTACTCGAGTAAAAGTAGAAGTACTCAGATATTGTACTTGAGTAAAAGTAGAAGTTCTCAGATCTTGTTCTTGAGTAAAAGTAGAAGTACTCAGATCTTGTACTTGAGTAACAGTAGAAGTACTCAGATCTTGTACTTGAGTAACAGTAGAAGTACTCAGATCTTGTAATTGAGTAAAAGTAGAAGTACTCAGATCTTGTACTTGAGTAACAGTAGAAGTACTCAGATCTTGTACTTCAGTAAAAGTAGAAGTACTCAGATCTTGTAATTGAGTAAAAGTAGAAGTACTCAGATATTGTACTAGAGTAAAAGTAGAAGTACTCAGATCTTGTTCTTTAATAAATGTATTGGAGTAAAAGTACACCATTTACCTAGAAGTAGAATAAAATGGAAATACTCAAGTACCTCAGAATTGTATTTAAGTAGAGTACTTAAGTAAAGTAAATGTACTTAGTTACTTCCCACCTCTGGTCTGCATGAGATAGAGTCTTAAAAAGACTAAAGTTGAGTTGTTTGTATCAAAAATGACGTCACACATTTAGGATTGTTATCTGCTGAAGATTGTATGTCCGTTTTCTTTCCTTTCTTTGTGTCTATATGATGATTTCTGGAAACATAAGAAAGTCTTTGTATCCGTCCAGGGCTCAGCAGCTGGTAAAAAGTACAAATTTGTCGTCACTGGTCACGGAAAATATGAGAAGATCCCCGTGGACGAGGATGGAGAAGAGTTTGCTGACGGAGAAGACGGTGAGACACAAACGCTTGTTTCCCAACATGTGAAAACTTCTTTATATGAAAAATGATATCAATGCTCTGTGGGGCTCAATGTGTTCTTAAAGACATCCCTTACACATTCTTTATTTTATAATTCTTTATTTATATTATGTTGTAATTATATTTGTATTAATCTATCAAATAATCTTTCCATAACACCAAATATATTTTTTCTATATACATAAAATAAAGACAATCCAGTATTTATTGTAATGAAAGCTGTTATATTTTGAATATGAATAAATTAAATTAAAATACATAAAATAAAATATATGTTTTTAAATGTATGTATTTTTTCAATTAATTTATCTAAATTTTCTAAATGTTTTATATATTTAATTATTTCAAAATTAATTATTTTCTATTTACATGTTTTTTTGTTTTTATTTATTCTAATATTTTAGTTTTGGACAACTTTAATTTTTAAATTAATGGGACTTTATTTTTAAATTTATTTTTATATAATTTATATATTGAGTAGTTCTTTAGTCGTATAGCAGATTTTGTTTTAATTATTGTATTTTATTCAACATATTTTTGTAGTTAAATTAAACCTGTACATATTTACAATGTTTATATTTGAGAAATGTTGTCCACCATTTTATTAGTTTTTTTAATTAATTGTTGTTAGTTTCTATAATTGTATCCACACCTAGGCAACTTCCTTCCAACATTCCCACAATGCAAAGTGCTGCATTGTATAGATGTTGAATCTGATTTGTGCAACAACATTATCATTTTGAAATCCTCAATTTATTTAGCGTTATTTAGCATTTTGGGTAATTCAGTGTGTGATCGACCAAAACAAATGTAATCTTGTTTTTGAAGAGTTATGAATTATTCACAAGAACTCTTAACCAAAAAACAAACACAATTTCAATGTTTAACTTATAAGAACAATGAGAGGAACAAACGAGAAGCTCTGATCTTACTGAAAACATAAACGCTTTAATCGGATGTGACGTCTGAATTAAGACACACTTTTCTCTTTTCCAGCTTTTCCACAAACACAAAACATCCAGACAACCAGTCACACAGATGAAACACTAAGCACTTGTCCAAAGCGGACTTTTCTATAACACAAACATCATTCGTTTGAAACACTGAGACTTCTGCACCTGTACATTGAACATATAACTTCTTTTTCACCTTGGCACGTATATATTATATATATTGTATTAGCTTAAGTTGCGGCGAACCCCCTCGCTGTTCTGTTAAAGTCTTTTGGTTCCTCTTCTTGACCTTTCCGCCCAATCAGACCCATTTCAAAAACTGTCGAAATCTTCGTCGTCGGCCTTGACGCCGCCTCTTTCAGCCTTTTAGCGTCAAACTTTGGACTGAAGAGCAGCAATGGCAGCCGTTGGGCGAACGATGGTACCTCTTTCTGGTCGTCTGTTTCCTCTTGCGTCTTCTTGTCGTCGCTTTTGTTCAGCTCGATCTGGTGCATGATGTTCTCCTTAGTGCTGAACATTTGGAAGAGACAGGCGTTCCACATTTTGGCCGCTACGGGAGCGTCTTTGGTTTTGTTCTCGTCTTGATTTTCGGGCTTGTCCACGGCCTTCTCTTCGGCCTTCTCCACCTCTTTCTGGTCCGTCCCAGCGGCCTCCTTTTTGGGGCCAACCTCTGGGAATGTGGGCTCTTCCTGCTCCACCACCATGTGCTTCTTGAGTCTGGACCAACCGCTCAGTTTGGATTTCACTCCCTTTGGCTTTTGCATGACTTTCAGAAGGGCCTCCGCAGGGAGGGATTCAACGCTTTCCTTTGTCTCCGGCGCAGATTTAACTGCAGCTGGTTCTTCTTTCTTATCTTTTCCTTTTCCTTCACTTCCTGTTGCAGTGCTGGGCTTTTGGCCTTCATCTTTAGCCTTGCTTTCAGCTACAGGCTCTTTCTTATCAGCTTTTGTCTCAGGTACAGGTTTCTGTACTTTATCTTTTCCTAATAGTTTCCTGACTGCCTTCAGAGGATCCTGGTCATCACCTTTGGGCACAGGTTTGACTTCAGGAGGATTCGTCTTTGGTTTGGCGACTTCTTGAACTGGTTTCTGAGACGTTTTCCCTTGTGTCATTGGGGGTTTAGACTTTGGTGGTTCTTGGATCACCGTTTTCTCTTGTTTTGCTGCAACCCGACTGGAAACCATGCTCGTCTCTTGTGCTATCGTTGTTACAAAGGTGTCAGACGCCTGTGAAACGATAATGATGGGAATTGAAGGGGTGATGGCAACCTTCACGTCCCTCACCTGGGGTTTCTCTACCTCTTTGGGAGTTTCTTTAGCTTTAGACACCTCTGGCATAGCTTGTTCCTTCACAGGTGTTTCTTGAATAGGTGCTTTACATTCTACTGGTTCCTCTTTTGGCACTTTAACCTCCTCTTCAGCTTGCGTCTTGGAATCGGAGATACCAAAAGCTGGAGAGTAGGTTTTAATTCCTCCGTGAGCAGCATATTCAGCTGGTGTCAATCCACGGTAGCCAGACTTTGATTTTTTAGCAGTTTGAGTCGGGGTTTTAGGTCTCTGAAAGCCTACAGGTGATGGTGACATCCCGTACGTAGGTGTCCTTGGTCTTTTAAAACCAGGCGAAGTGGTCATAAGTCGGGATGCCTCGTATGTTGGAGTCTTAGGCCTCTGGTTGCTGTAAGAAGTCACTGCTGGTGTTTGTGGCTCAGTTGTTGGGGTTTTAGGTCTTTGAGAGCCAGCTGGAGCAGCTTCTCTTGACAGATCAGGCTCTGATTGTGTCATATTGATGCTCTGTTGGATTGGTTTTACCACTGGTGTCATGACCAAATGAATGTCCCTGTTTGGTATCATTTCAGCAGGCTTAGGCTCACTGATCTTCTCGCTTTGGGAAACAGACAAACTGATCTTATCGCTTTGGGAAGTTGACAAACTGCTCATAGCAGAAAGTGTTTTGGGCGTTCTTGACCTCTCTGGCTCTACTGTGATTGGCGACACGGCGAACAAGAGAGGATTCGGTCTTGAGACTTCAAAGACCGGTGTTGCAGCCCGATTCTTGTTGTATGCCGGGGTTCGAGGCCGTCCTGTTGGTGTTTTAACTCTGATTTCAGAAGTCGGGGTTGCTCTTAGGATTTCAACCGTAGGTGTTATTATAGTATTCATCTCCGTTGTTGGTGTGGTGCCCCTTTTCATTTCTGAAGTTGGTGTTTTCCTCTGGGGATCTGGGCCCAGTAAAGGAGGCAGAGCCGTCGGTGTTGTCCCTCTTCTGACCTCAGATACGGGAGTCAAATCTTGCATGGTTTCTGCCGGTGCTTTACTTTGAGGTGCTGTGCTGCCAATGGCGGTTAAAGCAGCTGTGTCGTACACCGGTGTGGTCCTGGTTGACTCGTAGTAGGATGTGCTCGCCGTATACATCCTAATTTTGGGAACATCAAACATCGGTTTGGGCGATCTTGAACGGTCGGTCGCTTTGAATGTTGGACGTGGACTCCTGCATTTGGCCATCGGGATCAAAACAGTGAGAGGACGAATCAGAGCTTCACCCCCCATTGCTTGATAAGGAGTTGGACTTTTTGCTTGTCGCGTCCCTCCAGTTGCGAAAGGTCTAAGACCGGCATTATTGTCAGCAAATGTGCTAAAAGCCGGCTTTCTTACTTCAGCAGCTGGTACTGTTGCCTCAGGTGTAAAGGAGGCTGGCAGTAAAGATATTTTTGGCACTGCAGGCTCAACGACTTGCCACGTAGCTGTTGAGACTTCAGACACGTTGGTGGACGCAGAATATGAAGAAACGGTAGTAGTATTCTGCGGGTAAGAGTACAATGGGGGCGCCACCGTCTGAGGGGAGAATCTTCCCGGTCTCCCGTACGCCGCTCGATGTGGGTAAGGCGACGCCACATGTCGATAAAGCGGTCTGGCGGTGAACCTCGGAGGCTCCTGGACGCTGAAAAGACTGAACGGTGTCTCTGGAGTCTTGGGAGGTGTTGAGTGGTCACTGTGCTCGAGGTCGGGACTTGCTTCGTTCACGGGGGAAAGGTTGGAGCGGAAAAGCGTGGCGGGCTGCGATGTCTGAGCGGAGGCCTTCTTCTTGGCGGATCTCTTGAGGAGTTTCTGAAGCCGAACGTTGTCCTTTGCAGGTTTGGGAAGCAGGGGCGGAGGGTACTGCTGGTAAAGCAGGCCCGGGTTGGTGACAGCCCCGTAAGCGACAGCCATGAGCGCTTTGGCACCCTGAGGAGAAACAAAACAAAAAAGAGATATTGTCAGAAAAAACAAGAACAAAGTCATTGGATCTGGTTTAACAGAAACTGAAACTCCCTAAAGTTACGCACTCCCCCCTTCCTCTGTCCTCTGCTCAGGTGTTCCTGATCTGAACTAATCAGGAGTATTTAGGAAGGCTGGAGGAAAAGAAGCTCTCTCTCTGACTCACTCACACTTAACCATTGGTTCTATTTCCTGTTATGTCTTTGTTTTTTAGTATGGAGAACCTGGTAGCCAAGTTTTCGTGGTTTTATTTTCTTAGTTAAGCCTATGCATTTATTTTAGCACAGGCTGGCCCAGGATTCCTCCATGTTTTGTTCTTTTTGGCCAGTCCTCCAGACCTTTTTATAAGTTAGGTACAAAAATAAAAAATCAATAAACCATATTGTTTGTGTAAAATTACACGGGTTTGCCGTTGATGGTCACAACTTGAGCCGTAACACTAAGAAACATCCTTTAATAACTCTAACCCTAACCCTTAAAGCCAAAAATCCACTTACCTAAGTTAATGGAATTCTTAACGTACTATTTTGTTAGTTAAACCTAAAAGTGTTACAACCTGTAACTTTCTAAAATGACTTAAGGTAACCACACTGACATTTGGACCAGTTTATAATATCTGCATATTGAACATTTTCTTTTTGTGTCTTCTGCAGATTTATATCATGACGATTACTGAGGAGGTTTCCTGATCCAAGTCATCATACATAAACAGTCACTTTTTCTGACTCTCATTTGGACAACTTCAAACCAAAAGTCCAAAAATCGTCAAATGTCTATATTTGTATTATTTCCTCTTTGCTTTTGTATTTCCTGACATTCAGTGTTTGTATGATGTATATATCTGACTGTGAGCCTTCATGTTTCTGTTCCTCCCCACTGCAGTGTTTAGGTGAACCATTCCTAATGTATGGTTGTCCTTGTGTGATGGTGTGTAGGAAAACTTTTGCAAAGTGCATTTATTTGTATGCGTACCACTTGGTTATTTTATCTGTTCTGCACTTAAACATTGGCTGAAGAACAATCTGAAAACTGCTCGCTGGAGACATACTTTGTCAAAAACTGGAAAAGCAGAGTTAATACTGATTGCAACAATTCTGAGAAAATGTATTTGGTATATTTTACATTTCAACAACCTTAATACTACCATACAATCAAATGTCATTTCCTGTTTGTGTTTTTATCAGACTTTTTACTCTGTCTTACTACAGACATTTTCCAACGTTTAACATGCATGTACTGAGGTGTCTGATTGTATGTGTTTGTAACCACTTTTCGAAATAAATTAAAATCATTTTCTAACTTAGCTTTCTTTGTTTTATGTATTGTTAGACCATCGGATTACTAAACCATAATCATATCATTATATACCCTTTTACAGTACATCTAAAATTAGAAATTAAGTTTGTCTATTTTGGTCCTAAAAAACACCTCAAAAGCTGTTTGAATTCCCATTAAATAACTTTTGGAGATTCATGGTCGATAGGCTAATGGCCCGTCCACACAGCGGCGGGCGTGTCTGAAACTCGACCAACAACCAATCACATGAATCTCCCGCCCCTGACACACAAGCAGTGGTTTGATTGGCTAGAGCTTGTACTGGCATATGATTCGATTGGCTGACGCTTCTGCCGAGGCTTCAAAAGTTGAACATTGCTCAACTTTTGCAGCGAGCCACGCCAGCAAAGCTCCGATTCACTTCCCACAATGCAGTAAGGCGAAAAATGACGTCACCCCATTCAAAGTGAATGGTGAAGCTTTCAACGCACGCCGCTGTGTGGACGGGCCGTAAGGGGCGGGACATCTGTAAGCGGTTGACCAATCACATCTTTGTTTACAAGGCACTCCAAAAACATAAAACTGAGGCTGCATTCCAATAGTCCATTTAGCTTAGGAACCTTCCTAACCGAGTGAAATGACCCGGAAGTCCCTCAGTGGCAGCCATGATAAGTGCCGTTCCAATTCTCCAAATGAAAGGAAAGGAGGTTTCAAACTTCCTTTATAACCTCCTTTAGCTTAGGAACCACTGGACCTCCCTTACCGAAAGGAGAGGAGAAAATGCTGCCCCACAATGCATTGCAGCCGCAGCATTTGCCGTCACTCAACAGTCGGCCGTTCACGGAAACAACCGATTATGACGGAGAAATGATATCATGAAAGTTACGGTGCTTATTAAGCATTTTAAAACGTATGTGGTAAGTTGCCAAAGTGCTTTGTTTTGAACGTTCATCAGTATTATAATCAAAGAGAGAAATATGAACGTTAGTTTTTACTGAAATGATCAAATAAAGTCAACATCTCACAGTCTTTACTGAGCTGTGTGGGGTTTGTTCAACTTTTAAAAGATGTTTGAATGGTGATATACACAGTGATAGATGTTAAGGACTAACGTTTATAATAAATACATCTGTATTGATTTAAGATCTTTTCATCAATCATACGTATAGGGATCATTTGTATTAATGTGGACCGGAGGGAGAGGGGGACGAGCAGAAGCTTCACTTTCCTTTTTATTTCAATTCCAGCTTTGGTCCTGAAGAATCTGTTTCTCTGTTGTCCACGTTCATAAAGCCTAAAGCAGCAGCGTCAGAGCACAGAGTCTCTAGATGAGTTCACAGGAGTCCCTCGTTCTTATTGAACATCCATGTTGTAGTCCGCTGTATAGAGAACTGTAGTCTCCATGGTTTCCCCACAGCAGCAGACGCTCATTCAGGACGTCCGCTGGCACATCAGAAACACGTGGGAGAGTGAAAGTGCAGTCGATTCTCTAAAGTACTGCAGTCTCTTCTCCTAAGTCCTTTTGAATTCTCCTATCCACTATCCCTTAACCCCGTGACCTTTCACTCAGAGGAGAGGAGGAGACGATAGGGTTAGACGATAGGAGCTGATTTTTGGATTATTCGAGCGCAGCCTGAGACTGTGATTTAGAGAAATCTAAATTAAAGTTATTATAGATAATACATGTATGGAAGAGGATTAGGGCCAAATGTGATATATTTTTTCGGATTACTTATTTTTACATTTGGACTTTTTTCTCAGAACTCCCCCTATAAGATGCACTTTCGGTCAGATAAAAAAACAACTATTCACATGTGGTCCTCATCCTCTACGGTATAAATGTTTCCATTGGAGTTTGACAGAAGGAACACATGTTCTGTGCCTGCAAAGGAGCGTGTAATCCTCCAACAAAGGTTAAAACAAAGTAATTTGGGTTTCAAGAGGTTTTCATGCTGGTTAAAAACATGTGTGTTAAAGTCAACACAGATGCACTCATCCTGGATGACCAGCAGGAGAATCATCCAGGATGACCAGCAGGAGATTCTCCTGCTGTTCATCCTGGAGATTCTCCTGCTGGTCATCCAGGATGATTCTCCTGCTGGTCATCCTGGATGATTCTCCTGCTGGTCATCCTGGATGATTCTCCTGCTGGTCATCCTGGATGATTCTCCTGCTGGTCATCCAGGATGATTCTCCTGCTGGTCATCCAGGATGATTCTCCTGCTGGTCATCCTGGAGATTCTCCTGCTGTTCATCCTGGATGATTCTCCTGCTGTTCATCCTGGATGATTCTCCTGCTGGTCATCCAGGATGATTCTCCTGCTGTTCATCCTGGATGATTCTCCTGCTGGTCATCCTGGATGATTCTCCTGCTGGTCATCCTGGATGATTCTCCTGCTGTTCATCCTGGATGATTCTCCTGCTGGTCATCCTGGATGATTCTCCTGCTGGTCATCCAGGATGATTCTCCTGCTGGTCACAGCTGGTCATCCTGGATGATTCTCCTGCTGGTCATCCTGGATGATTCTCCTGCTGGTCATCCTGGATGATTCTCCTGCTGGTCATCCTGGATGATTCTCCTGCTGGTCATCCAGGATGATTCTCCTGCTGGTCATCCAGGATGATTCTCCTGCTGGTCATCCTGGATGATTCTCCTGCTGGTCATCCTGGAGATTCTCCTGCTGTTCATCCTGGATGATTCTCCTGCTGTTCATCCTGGATGATTCTCCTGCTGGTCATCCAGGATGATTCTCCTGCTGTTCATCCTGGATGATTCTCCTGCTGGTCATCCTGGATGATTCTCCTGCTGGTCATCCTGGATGATTCTCCTGCTGTTCATCCTGGATGATTCTCCTGCTGGTCATCCAGGATGATTCTCCTGCTGGTCATCCAGGATGATTCTCCTGCTGGTCATCCTGGATGATTCTCCTGCTGGTCATCCTGGATGATTCTCCTGCTGGTCATCCTGGATGATTCTCCTGCTGGTCATCCTGGATGATTCTCCTGCTGGTCATCCTGGATGATTCTCCTGCTGGTCATCCTGGATGATTCTCCTGCTGGTCATCCAGGAGATTCTCCTGCTGGTCATCCAGGATGATTCTCCTGCTGGTCATCCTGGATGATTCTCCTGCTGGTCATCCTGGATGATTCTCCTGCTGGTCATCCAGGATGATTCTCCTGCTGGTCATCCGGATGATTCTCCTGCTGTTCATCCAGGATGATTCTCCTGCTGGTCATCCTGGATGATTCTCCTGCTGGTCATCCTGGATGATTTCTCCTGCTGTCATCCTGGGATGATTCTCCTGCTGGTCATCCTGGATGATTCTCCTGCTGTCATCCTGGATGATTCTCCTGCTGTTCATCTGGATGATTCTCCTGCTGGTCATCCTGGATGATTCTCCTGCTGTTCATCCTGGATGATTCTCCTGCTGGTCATCCTGGATGATTCTCCTGCTGGTCATCCTGGATGATTCTCCTGCTGGTCATCCAGGATGATTCTCCTGCTGGTCATCCTGGATGATTCTCCTGCTGGTCATCCTGGATGATTCTCCTGCTGGTCATCCTGGATGATTCTCCTGCTGGTCATCCTGGATGATTCTCCTGCTGGTCATCCTGGATGATTCTCCTGCTGGTCATCCTGGATGATTCTCCTGCTGGTCATCCAGGATGATTCTCCTGCTGGTCATCCTGGATGATTCTCCTGCTGGTCATCCAGGATGATTCTCCTGCTGGTCATCCTGGATGATTCTCCTGCTGGTCATCCTGGATGATTCTCCTGCTGGTCATCCAGGATGATTCTCCTGCTGGTCATCCAGGATGATTCTCCTGCTGGTCATCCTGGATGATTCTCCTGCTGGTCATCCAGGATGATTCTCCTGCTGGTCATCCTGGATGATTCTCCTGCTGGTCATCCAGGATGATTCTCCTGCTGGTCATCCTGGATGATTCTCCTGCTGGTCATCCTGGATGATTCTCCTGCTGGTCATCCAGGAGAATCTCCTGGATGACCAGCAGGAGAATCTCCTGGATGATGTTACGCCTCACAACTGATCCTGGGAGCTTTTTACCCGACACTAAATTTAGATTGGAGGCCGGCCAATCACCTGCTTCGCTTTTTTAAGACTCCAGCCCTTTTTTTACAGGCTGCATCACTTTCCTCGAAACACAATAAATCAGGGCGGTGTGCAGATCAGGTGGAGCTACTCCATGTAAAAGGAGCACTGTGTAGTGTGCACTAACGGAGGTCATATTTCAGCATCAACTGCTACGTGTGCACCTATCAGCTGATCAACATCCAGAGGGTCCATGTTTATGGTGATGTTTTCATGTTTGGCTCTAAGTGCAACAACACGAGAGGTTTAATTAGGATCCATGCCTGTAGGTAATACAATAACGAGGATTTATGGCTTAAATTTGAGTGAAAATGTCAAAGAAATCTTAAAAAATATCAATTTGTGACCTTAAAATCATGCAACTCAATTTAAAAGATCACTTAAATAATGCAACAGATGGAACTTACTGAGGATTCAGCTATTCTTACAGCCTTAAATGTAGTGGAGCACAACATGCAAATCAAAATGGTTCATCCTCTGGGGAGCTGGGACAGGATTAGAACGTTTCAAGGCAAATTGTTGTGTGTAAAAGTGTTAAAGTAAAACCACTGATATAGATTTGGTGTGTCTGCTGAAGGGTGAAAGTGAATGCAGAACATGTGACCTCATGACATCACAGCCCGACGACATTTGATAGGGCGTCAGAAATATGTTGTCACTGAGAATAACCAATCACACGAGAGGACAGGAATTTAAAATAAAGAATGGAGACATTTAGTGGAACTGTTTCATACATTTCTAATCCCTGAAGTAAAAATAACTGTCAGAGCATCAGTGCGATTAACATTACGTTTCTGAGCTGACCGAGCAGTCTGGACACAAACAACTGTTTCATATCAGCAGTTATGAAACAGCATCTATTTACATTAGCTTTTTATTAGCAACCCCGCACTTTAAATGTTCTCTTAGTCTAACCTACTTTTATATTGATTTATTTATTTAATAGGTCTTAAATGGTTTTATCTTATATTATTGATTTAAAAGCAGTTTCAATAGCGTTGGTTTTCTTTTTACGTTGGTTTTTAAATATTTTAATCGTTTAACCTTTATTAGAATTATGACATTTGTATTACTATAATCTTTTTATTTGTATTTCTGTTGAACCGATATGTTCACTTTGTTTTATGGGTTTTATATTGTTATATCTTGTGTCTTATCTGTCGGAGAGAAATCATTATTTATTTCATTTTGATGATCATACCTTTGACCTCCTTATGTCTCCTAACCTGTTCAATGCTACATGTTGCTGCGTGGACCTTTGAAGCTTTCAACATGTGATCTGAGGGGAATTTCTTGTTGTCTATTTTTAACTTGTGATGTGTGCACAACGTAAAGCACTTTGAGCGGCACGTGCTGTATGAAAAGGGCTATATAAGAAAAGCTTTATTATTATTATTTCATCCTCGGTTTATTATGAGTGACACCTCAGTAGTGGTAGTGTTTTCAAGCTGCCCCCCCACACCCTTATTCCCACCTCCCTCTCTGAACCGACACATGAGAACCCGCTCCTCCTTTTAAGGCTGTGGGTAGGCTTGGTATTTGGAGCGCCTTCAGGATGCGAGTTCAAAAGAGGAAAGGGTAATAATAGCCCTGTAATAAAAAACCAAGCCGCTCCACAATGCCCCCCTTTAAGTAAATGAATCCACCCCAAAAAGAAGTCATTAGGCGAAGTTACGAGGCTTCACACACACACACACACACACACACACACACACACACACACACACACACACACACACACACACACGCGCACACGCACACACACACACACACACACACACACACACACACACACACACACAGTTTAAAAGGAAAAAGACGGAACATACCAAGTAAAGACGTCTTGCTGGTGTTTCAAAGCGCTCCAGGCAGGTTCCCCTTGACAGAAGAGAACATTGATTCAATATCACACCTCCCTTTATTACCCATAATCACACCTCAAAGCTAACATGTGCTCATCATCCAGTCATGCCTTATTGCTGATACGTAGCATAGTGTGTTGTAGAAACAGGGCAAAGCTAACACTTAGCTCAGCTCTGATGTGCAAGAAACACCGATTCATCCAATCACACGTCAGATGTCTTGCATTCGACTCCAGCTGCCTCCCTGCTCTCTACCTGCAGATTAAAAAGGTGTAATTTTGGGGTGTTTACCTGTGCTACTGCTGCTCGGGGGGCGGCCGGCTGGCTGCTGCCTGCTTTTCCCAGCCAGAGTGTCAGAGCGCAGGTTCATGTTGAGCCCAGCCCGACCCCCCCCGTCCTACAAATGGAAAGAACAGCAGTCCAAAAATAAAACCCTGCGAGCCGCTCAGAGTGACAGCAGAGGAAGAGGCAGCACGGACAGGCCACGGGACCTTAGGTTTCACCACCTCAGGGCTCTAAAAGTGGGGTCCGTGGGCCATCCAGGGGTCCCTCAAGGATGTATTTGTGATCCTCCAGAGATCTCAGAAGAAACGAAACAACAAAAAAACACGGTTGTTTAATTTCATGTCCCTTAGAAATATTTCAGTGATTCTTGATTTAAAAGCTTTAGAGAGAGAAAGGTAGGTGTGAGTTGTTTGGGGGTTCAGAGGGTCCCAATTGTGGTTAGAGGTCCAATTATATGTCAGTGGGTTCTAGGGGTGATGTGAGGGTCTAATGCGATTGGATTGTAGCCAGTCTCCAGTCCTATTATATTTTCTAGGATTGCTTTATTGTAAAGTCTTAACAAAGGGTTCTAACCCCCTGATCCCACCGGAAGCGTCTGCGCTGCGACCTCCTCCTGCGTCATAACCCACCAGGCGCGTTTCAAAAAGTTGCGGAAGCGAAGCGTCGTGTGTGCAGCCTCGCAGTATTCCCCCAGACCCGCTGTGCTGCGCTGCGCCGCATCAAAAATAGGATTCATCCTATATTTTAGAAATTCCTTGCGGCGAGGAGCTTCTGGGACGCTTCGAGCCGCGGCGCTGCGGGTCTGGTGGAATAGCACCCATTGACTAGAGTGGCCGCGATCGCTAAAAACGCCGCAGCGCAGCGCAGACGCTCCTGGTGGGATTAGGGGGTTAGGGCACTTTCACAACCTCATAGTCATTTGGGTTGGTCCCTAACAGTGTTGGGTGTAACGCGTTACAGTAACGTAACTACTTTTGCCGGGTAAAAAGTAGTGTAACGCGCTACTACGGAAAATGTGGTAACGTAACGTCGTTTCTTCTTCAATTCGCCGCAACGTTACTTTTCCCAAGGACGAGTGACAGTGACACTGCCTACTCAGCTGTGTGCTTGCTGTAAACCGTGATCGTTTTTCTCGCGTCCAGGAGAGAAGCTTAAAAAGGAGACTAAATGGAGTCTCTGAGAAGGTTCAAATTGTACTTTAATTAAAAATATGGCGCGGTAATGTTACAGACAGGATATTGTTCAGTCAGGAGAGAACGGCTGCAGGTTCCTCTCCCAGGTGCTGGCCGTGTCGAAGAGAGACCACAGGCCTTCGTCCTTCCCGCTTGCTGGCTGTTCGCTCCTCCTCTCTGTGAGCTGTATTGACGTAGGGGACTTCCCCCCTCGTTCGTGTCCGATATCGCGTTAAACAGAGGATTTTGACATTTTACATTCATTGCTTACTTCCACATGCCTTTTCTCCTCCGTATTGCTTTCATAACTTTATATGTAACACGTGTTAACGGCGTCAATAGCCACTTTAATGATACTAATGGGCGGTAGTCCCGGATGTCGTCATGAAGGATTTTCAGAATAAAAGCTTGGTATTGAGAACTTCCGTTTTTTTCCAGAATAAAATAGCATTTAAACTGACGGTATGTTTAAGGTACATTATGCCATAAAACATTGATTTTAATTTCTAACATTACGCATTAGGCACGAGCTCTCATTCCACACTGTACGTGATAGAGGCTGGCCGCGGGTGGTGGCATGAAGACTGAAGAGCAGTAATGGCAAGCGAGAAGCAGGCGCAGCCAACGTTAACATTCGAGGGATGGAGGTATTCCCATTACTTCGAACTTGTTGAAACTAAGGGGGAAAATGTGAGTGTAAGGTGTACGTTGTGCCCTGGCCAGAAACTTGTGTCCACTGCCGTTAACTCCACTGCCAACCTCACCAAGCATTTGAAAGGAAAACATGCTAGCATGAAGCTAGTAGCTCAAGATCCCGGGGGAAATGATGATATTTCGAGCCCAAGCCTATTTAGTAGCCTATTGATATTATTTGCACTAGCTTTGCACCTATTTTGGGGCTAGCCTGTAACCCTTAATGATTATGATTTGATATTGATATTGTTTGATATTATTGTTTAGTGGTGGTGTTGACGCCTATAGCCCAATGTTTTGTTAAGTGCTCTGTGGCATTTTTTTTATAATAAAGAGCACAAAAGACATATCTGTTATGTCCTCCATAGTAGAACTTTATGTAAGCCTACACATTTAGGAACAGAGATGGGGTTCTGCCCAAAGTCGAGCAACATAAAAGTAACGTAAAAGTAACGAGTAACGTTGGAGGGTAACTAAGTAAAGTAAGGGATTACTTTTTTAAGGAAGTAACGAGCAAACACTACTTTTTAAAAGTAACTTCCCCAACACTGGTCCCAAATCAAAGGGTCAGATGATATTTCAGTAGGTTCTAGGTTTTCTTGGGGGTGATGTGAGGGTCTAATGCACAAATCCGGCCCTTGGTGGATTTAATTTCGGCCCGCAGGATAATTTCTAATTACTATTAGATCTGGCCCGCCGGTATATTGCACGCACCCTTTCACTTCATCCTGAGGGTCTCCTCCGCTCAGAGCCTGAGCCCAAACATTGATGACCTTGCACCCAAGATGAGACGCCGAGTATCTGAACTAGCATCACAGAGCAGCACACTGAGTTTAATGGATGTTTCCTTCTGCACTTTCTCTCTCAGGATTAAACAGTTAAGCCCGAAGGTCCCCCCAGTGGACCCCTCCCACAGTTTTTTTTTTCTCACATGTCTCAGGGCTTCTTAACATTTATGAAACTATTAATGTTTCATACCCTTTTAAAGGTAAGAAACTCCGCTAACTGACAATAAGAACAATTGTTAGCTAAAAAAAACACAAGAGTAATACCAAGCCTTTGAATTAGCATTGAGCGAAAAAATGCTAACTAATGCTAACGCTTTTTTTACACACAACACACGGTAGAAATGCCCTTATTACTATCTTAACTGCACAAACAAGATATACGATTTAAAGCTGAGACTCCACAGATTCCACACATGTAATGTCATCACTGGAAGACCTCGAATTCCTGGAGCTATCAGCCAGAAAAGAGAAAGTAAACAACATCCGGTTCCAAAAATATTACAATAATTACGTCTTACCTTTTTTGATTTGTGATCAAAAGTTGTGTTCAACGGAATAAAAACGCATCTCAAGGTTAATCCAATGTCTTTGTGTCACGTAGAATTGTTTACTGATAATCAATCATCATATTTATGGCAATATACTCGGTATAAAGTATTGCCGTCCAGGCTTGCACTTTCAGATATGCTTCGTTTGCTTCTCTATTACGTCCGCTATGGTAATATTTACGTAGATTTGGGAAATGCCCATCGATTCTATTGGTTCTGATAGTTAAGAAAAAGGTGTAAATCACACGAATCGACCAATGGGTTCCAGAGATATGGTCCTGCGTAAAGTATAAAGAATGCCAGCCAGCGTAACAACATTACGCAGCCGACTTCATTTATTGTTTACAACGTAACGAAGCAGGAAATGCAGCAGGACCCGCTCTGAGCACGGAGCGGACAGCAGATAACGGAATTGCAGTTTTATTGCTTATAGATAATCAGAACATTTCAAAGGGGACACAGCCCCATTGGATATTAACCTATGGATTAACTACATCATCGTTTTTTTTTATCGTTTTAATGCCATTGAAGACCAGTTTAGACCAGACAACGAGGAAGGTAAGTCATTGTTAGCCTAGCGCATGTTAGTACCACTTGTTTTGATGTACGTTTTTGTTGATAACGTCGCGAGTTTGTATCTTTCAGTGTTGACGTGGGCACCGTTAGATTCTGTGTCTCCTTGCGATCATAAACAATGTGTTGGATGTGCAGCTAGGATAAGTAATAAGGGAGCGAGGAGTGATTTTCGGTGCAGTAATAGGTTAGCATTTTTCGCTCGGGGCTAATTCAGAGGCTCACTGTAAGAGTAGGCCTATGTTTTATTTTATTTTATTTTATTTATTTTTTAATTTGTTTCACAACAGTTGTATTTGGATGGAATAAATACCTATAGTGATAATTCAAAGTAATAAAATGATTTTTACAGTGAAAAAGTTCAAATGGAACCGATGGTTCCCAAATTACCCAGAGGTGAGTCCGCTTGGACTTTATTTTTCTAAATCTCTCTAAAAAGGTCAAATGTCACTTGTTTTGCATCAATCTTGATACAGGGTACTTATTATATGTTATAGTTTGGATTCCTAAAGCTTTTAGTCTACTAACCCATCATGCAAGGGTAGTTTTCACTATAAGTAAAGTTTTTTTTTTAGGTGGACATTAGAATTTACATGTTTTTACTATGTTCCATCTGAATTTACTTTAAAATAAAAACATCTATATTGATTCTGACACTTCTACACCCAACTCACAGATGTAACCTTGCTTTGAGAAAAATAATTATTAATTTACCCCTTTTAGAAGTGAAGATATATCATTTGTTGTGTTAGTGGCATTTTCGAGCCTGAAACCTGAAAAACAGGCTCAGGGCTTAACTGGTTAATGGATGTTTCCTTCTGCACTTTCTCTCTCAGGACAACAGGGCATGTTTGGTTTGTTCTTTGATGGAAATAGTTTTGTTGAAGCTGTTGTTGGCCTGTGGAGAAATGTACTCATAAGAAATGACTCTGGAGAAGCTGCAGATAGAGCCATAAGAAATGAATGCAACTGATTATTTAATGTTTAATGTTGTTTTTATAGGCAATAATTTAAGCTTTGTTAGTTCCAGGTTTAATATGTGCAATAAGTTCATTTCAATACGTTCTGCAATAAACATTGAACCAGTCCGGCCCTCGACTAGTACCCATTTTTTAATTTTGGCCCACTGTGTATTTGAGTTTGACCCCCTGATTGAATGCAATGAGATTTTAAGAGGTCTCCAGTCCTATGCTTTCTATTTTATTTGTAGGATCTCTCTATTTGAAAAGTCCTCCAGAGGTTCTTAGGTCACAGGACCTTAGGTTTCATCACCCCAGGGCTGTAAAAGTGGGGTCCGTGGGCCATCCAGGGGTCTTTCAAGGATGTACTAGAGA